TCATTTTATATGACATCTTTTGGTGAGACAGCAACAACAGTAGGGACAACAGCTGCATTATAATCTTAAGATTTTATATTTCCATAATATAGAGAATAAGGTAGTTTTATGTGGAGAGGATTTACAATTGAATAAATAGTGAATTAATGTATAGGAAATCATTTAGATGGTGGAAAAGGTAGATAAATGCCAGTTCATTATGGAAGCAAAGATTTAAATATAGTGACAGTATCATCACCTTTAAGTAATATAATATTAAATGAAATATTATAGCTACTTAAGTACCATAAGCAAGTGGTGCAGGATATGGATTTAGAGTAAATGGTGAAAATAAGATAGCAGCTACTTGGTTTGGTGAAGGAGCAGCTTCTGAAGGAGATTTTCATTCTGCAATGAATTTTGCATAAACTTTAAAATGCTAAACTCTATTTTTATGCAGAAATAATCATTATGCTATTAGTACTCCTACAGATGATCAATTTAGAGGTGATACTATTGCTGGAAAAGCTCCTGCTTATGGAATGAGAACATTAAAAATTGATGGTAATGATTTATTAGCTGTTTATAATGGAGTCAAATATGCAAGAGAATAAATTATTAAAAATAAAGAACCATTCTTTATTGAATTTATTACTTATAGAGTATATTTTAATTGTATCAATAGATTGGAGATCATTCAACATCTGATCATTCTGTTTTATATAGATCTTAAGAAGAAATTGATTCTTGGAAATCTGGAAATAATCCAATCAATAGATTAGGTTTATTCTTAAAAAAATAAGGACTTAGATAATTTAATGATGAGCATGATAATCAAATTAGAAAAGATGTTAGAAATAGAGTTATTGCTGCATTAAAAAATGGATCAGAATGTATTTAAATTATTCATTACATAGAATAATAACCATCCATTCAAGATTTATTCACTGATGTTTATGATGAAGTATTACCACATCTATCAGAATAATATGCTTAATTAAGAGATCATTTAACTAAATATAAAGATTAATATCCAATCAATAAATTCAAAGGTGGAATATGAATATTTACATTTATTACACATAATAAATTTATTTATCCTTGATATTAAAATGGTAACACTATTTTATATTTCATATATCTTTTTACTATCCCATTTCTTCAATTTAATTACAATTCTCTTATTTCTTCAAATTAAAACCACACAATCATTTTATGTAAATTTATTACTTTGTATTTTCTTCAATTGATAATATTTGTTTGATAAAATTCAAATTTAAGATAGAAAACATATGATTTAAAAATTATTAATAATTTCTTTATTCATAAATATATTTATAAATATTAGTTCAACCAAAGTTATAATGTATTCTTTCTTTATTTTTCTAAACTACAAAATTTATTAGTATCATCAACACTTTTATTAAATATACTATTAAGAATATTTAATAAAGGAATAAGATTACTACTGGTTTATATTTAGAGAGTATATATTAATGAAATTAGAACATTTAATATTAGAATTTGTATTTCTTAAAGTCTAATACTATGAATATTGGCAAAAAGATAAATGATATTATTATCATTGTAATAACATAAAAGTATCTTTAACAATTGGTTACATTCTCCAAAGTACATTTATTTGGATTTTATTAAAAAAGTTCTAAGTATGAATCACAATTTTTGCACAATTGTGAAAAGCAAATTTGACAAAATATTGTTTAATCCTCTTTTTAATTACTGATTATTTGATTAGAGTTACATTTGAAACATTTTTTGAATGATTCTCTGTTTATGATTTATTGGCATTATTAACATTTTTCTGAGCTTTTGTTTTTTTATTTTTTGAGTTGCTTTTTGTAAAATATTGAGATTTAAATATCATCATGGCTCTATAAAACATACAAAATGTCGCAAGTAGAACATTTCAGATAAGTTTTAGAATCTGATATAAATTTAGGCTTTAATTGCATCTCATCAATCAAAATCCTATGAATATCATTATTATGCTTAATTTTAGTTAGCAAGACATAATCTCTACTATTTTTATCAATCATATCTGAATCTAACAAAGGATTTTCCATTAAATTTAAATATTTAATTAATGATTTGCATAATAATATTATTATTCGTTTTAAATAATATTATCAATTGTTTGATACAATAATTATAATATTTATGTATTATGAATTATATACATTATTGAAAATGAATATAATATTGAAATTCTACTCAATTAAGAGGAAATATGTATTAGTATTTAAAAAATAAATTAAATTTGATTTTTCGTTGAGGAATGATAATAAGGATTAATTAATTGTAATATTTAAATGCAAGCTTAGAAATTAATTAGTGAATATATTATGGATTGAAAAATAGTCGATTTAAAATAAATTTAATTGCATAATAGGTGGTGTTGAATTTAGATTATCTGAGACTAGCTTAAAATTTGATTGATATTATAATTGATGATGATTTAATGAATGTAAAACTATGAAAAGGAAAAGGTGACTGATTTTGTAAAAATAGTGATTAAAAAATAAGATTGTAGATATAAATATTGTATTTTTATAGAAAGAAATACTTTACACTAATGGTAGAGATAAACAATAAAGCCTCTTGAATTAATGAATTTAAAACAAGTATGAAATTGAATTAATAAATTTTATAATTTAGTGAAGATGTTTACATGAATGCATTAAATAATTATCAATTGTTTTAATGATATAATTAGGAAATATTGTTTTGTTCCTGGAAAATTAGAGAATTTAATTTTCAAAATGGATACTAAGAAACTTTGGCTATGTTGTTTATATAAGCTATATTTATTAATCCAATCTAATATTTTAAGTTTTTCTTGGAAGATGGTTTCTGGTATAGAATTTGAAATAATCTAATAGCTGTGGATACCATGGAAAAATTTTAATACTTAAACCAAATGAATATGTTAAAATTTAAGAGAGAATTGTAGCAAATTAATTGGAAGAATAATTTGAAGGTACTTCTAAAAATCTGACAAAATTTTAGTTACTTTTGAATTGCATAACTTTAGGCAGCCTATTAAAATTGAAATTCTAAGTGGGTATAATGAGGAAATTTTAAAGGCTATAGAATTAATGAAAAATGCAGATATTGCCATTCAGTACCATAATCTGAAGAGGAAGAAATGATATTATAAGATTAGATATCTAAAATGCTAATAAAAAAAGATGAAAAAGATGATAATTGATAGAGTGTTTTAATGAATTATACATTCCATAAATTTAATATTTATATGAGTTTCTTTAGATCGAAAAAGATGAAATATTATAGTTTAGTCATACCTAGAGAAAGTGCTTGGGTAGTAATGGATCAATTAGGAAGACTAGGATAATTACATATTATAGATTATGATCCTTTATTACCAATGATGAATAGACCATTTGCAAATTATGTAAAAAGGTATTCAAAATATATATAAACTTAGATGTGATGATGCCTTATTTAAATTGAATGGAATTAACACTCTTCTTAAACAATTTAAAAAAAATCTAATATATTGTAATGATACATAAAAGTTACTTGATAAATTTAGAGATATATAAAATCTAAGATAAAAACCAGGGCATACTTATTTTGATGAGATAGAATTGGAAATTGAGAATAAAAAAAATAATATTTAAGAAATGTCAAATAATTTGTAGAATTTACTAGATAGAGTAGATTCAATTACAGAATAAAAATTAGTATTAGAAAAAGCAAAAGAAATTTTAGGAAAATCAATTTTTTCTTAGTAAATTGACATTTATATTTTAGATCAACTCCCCATAATGTGAATGATTATTAATAATTAAAATTTGGATAATTAATTGGCGTTATTGACAAAGAGGATGAAAACAGATTTAAAAGAATAATGTTTAGAATAACAAAAGGTAATGCATGGGTAAATATTGTGGATCTTTTACCTGAAAAATAACACCATTAAATAAAAAACTAAATAGATCTAAATAGAGTAATAATTGTTATTTAAGTTAGGTATCATAACCTAGATGTTTATATGTTATTATATATCCTGGAATGAATGATTAGAGTACTATGAAATAAAAATTATTAAAGGTTTGTGATTCATTTTGTAAAAACAGAATTGAATACCCTAATTCAGAGGAAGCTATGGAAAATAGATTAAAAGATCTCAACAATCAAATAAATGAAACTTAAAGTTTAATTAGAATGACTAAAAAATAATTGGAAATATCTTTAGATGAATTAGTAAGAGAAAAGAATGGATGTAATTGTTCTTATTTTGAATAATTAAGATTATATGTATTAAAAGAGAAATATCTTTACATTAATTTAAATTACTTAACAATGTAAGGTTCAATTTTTACGGGATATTTCTGGTTACCAGATGGATTAGAGGTATTGGTTGAAGATAAATTAAGATAAGCAATATAAAATAATATTGATAGATTTCCTACAGGATAAATTTAGGAGATGAAACCAAAATCAGATATTCTGCCTCCAACTTATTTTAATTTAAATGAAGTCATTATACCTTTTTAAGAAATTGTTAATACATATGGAGTACCAAGATATTAAGAAATTAATCCAGGTATATTTACAATAATTACATTTCCATTTTTATTTGGTGTAATGTTTGCAGACATTGCTCATGGTTTTTTGTTACTTTTAACTGGATTATATGTAATATTTTGGAAAAAATAATTAAGCAAATAAACAGATTCAATGTTTAATGCTATGATTCCATTTAGATACATATTGACTCTTATGGGATTTTTTGCTTTCTATAATGGTTTAATCTATAATGATTATCTCTCTATTTCTCTTAATCTTTTTGGCAGTTGTTATCATCCAAAAAATGAAGAATGGGAAAGGACATTGAATTGTGTTTATCCATTTGGTATTGATCCTGTTTGGCTGGCATCAGGATCTAGTTTAAACTTTATGAATTCTTATAAAATGAAATTATCTGTAATCTTAGGAGTAACACATATGTTGTTTGGTATTTTGTTGAAAGGAGTCAATAATTTATATTTCAGAAACTATTTAGATTTCTTTTGTGAATTCATTCCATAATTACTATTTATGGCTTCTACTTTTGGTTGGATGGATTTTTTAATCATTTTAAAATGGTTAAATGTTTATCCAGACAAATTTGATCCAAGTATCATTGAGACAATGATAAATCAAGTTTTAAAACCAATGGATGAAACTTCAACACCTGTATTTCTAAATAATGCTTCTTTTTAATTATAAATAACATAGGTTTTAACAATAATTGCAGTATTAAGTATACCTTGGATGTTACTTCCAAAGCCATTAATATTAGGATCAAGTTAAAAGAAACACAAAGTTTCATTTAGTGAACCTTAATATCAAAAATTAGTTTAGGAGAGACAAGGATCTGAATTGGAGATTGATCCCTAATAATTTAGAAAAGATTTATAGAGTGCAGCTTCAGGAAAGAGTATTGAATAATCTGAGGTGGAACATGAATCAGGAGAAATATGGGTTCATTAGATGATTGAAACAATAGAATTTGTATTAGGAGGTATTAGTAATACTGCATCATATTTACGTTTATGGGCATTATCTTTAGCTCATGGATAATTAGCTGAAGTGTTTTATGATATGTGTATTGCAGGTAAATTAGATATGGGTGGAATTGTAGGTGGATTAATGGGTGGATACTTTTATATAGTATTTGCATTGTTAACATTTGGTGTATTGATGATGATGGATGTAATGGAATGTTTTTTACATGCATTAAGATTACATTGGTATTAATTCAACTCATTTTTAAAGGGTTGAATTTTAGAGCAAGTTCTATAAGGCTGATGGATATCTATTCGTTGGATTTTCTTATAATCAAATGCTCTCTGAACATCTTAAATTATGATATAATAATAGAAATGATATGTAATTATATTATATATTTCATATACGTTTTATTAATAAAATAATGAATAGTTATTAATACAACAATGCTTTATTTACAGTTTAAGTCACAAGAAAACATTTCTTCTCTGATAAGATCTACTAACTTTACTTATTTCAAGATGAAATTGTAATGACAGATGTATGCTCCATTTGTAATATAGAATACATTACGATAGCCCAAATATGTAATTAAATTAAATTTAACTACTACAATCAATTGGATTGTTTAAGACAATAAAATCTTAGCATTCTCTTTTGCTTATCAAAATACTGTTAAACCTTTTTATGCTCCAAAATTACAACTTCTAAAAGAAATGATTGCTGGAAGAGTATTTTATACTTCGATTACAGAATTTTATTAAATTTAAATGGTTGTAGGTAATGGAATGTCAGGAGAAGTATATAATTATGTATAATCATTTAGGTTTACAGATGTGTTTCTAACACTGGAGATTATTTTGCTGTTAAAAAATGTGAAAAACTAAAATTAGCATAACATGAAGGAGGAATAGTAAATATAAATTAAATTACTTTAGCCTTAATTAATTCATGAACTCTCTTTACTGTAATCTCTCTAACATCCTAATATTTTGAAACTCAAAGAAGTATATACTGATTAATCACATTATTATATTGTGACAGAATTTATTGAAGGTAGAGCTTTAAGTACTGAATTATTATCTAGACCATATGGATTAAGTATTGCTGAAACTATTAAAATTATGCTTTAAATTCTAGATGCTCTCATTTACATTTCTGAAAGAGGAATTATGCATAGAGATATTAATCCTCATAATATTATGAAAACAGATCCTGTTAAATTAATTGATTTTGGTCTCGCTAGAAAAATTAAAAATCAATTAATATTCCCTACTTCTGGTACTCCTGGATATATTGCTCCTGAAATTATTAATTTTAATAAAGATAAATTATATGATGATAGAGCTGATATTTACAGTTTAGGTTGTGTTCTTTACAAATTGTAAGTATCTCTTTTTTACTTTTAGGTTAACTGGAGAAAATCTTTTTCATAAAACTAAAAATATTTTCCAAGAAAATAAAGAAGGTATCTATGAATTAAGAAAAAATCCATAACATCCTGAAATTAATTCTATCAAAATGGAATAATTATTTGTTTTATTACCTTATATGTTAGAAAATGAACCTAATAATAGATTGACAGCTAAAGTATGTAAAATTGTTATTTAAGAAATTGATAATAACAATTAATAAATTGAAAAATTAATCAAGAAATTAATCATCTTTAAATTTTTTTAACTTAGTACAGAAGAAACACATAATGAAAATAAAACTCCATATAGTATGTCCTCTCATAGTCATAAAAATAAAAAATAATCAATGGATTTTCCTAAAAAATCTGATGAAAATTCAATAAAAGGACATAAAAAATAATAATAAACAATGGGGAATCTAAATTCTAGTTTCTATACTAAAAAATGAAATTTTATGGCTTTAATCTATTATTAATTATTATTATTCTGATTATAAAATTTATTTTCTAAACTTTAGCTTCAAACAAATGCTTTAAATATACATTCTAAAATATTTAAATATTAATTCAATTCATTCAGATTTTACTAAATTTTTCTATTTTTAAACCTATTAAAAACTAATTATAAAGAATTCTATTGATTTTTTATACAATATCTATTCTAAATCAATTGAATAAAAATTACTATCTATAACTAAAAACTAGAAAATTCATGAATAATAATAAATAAAATAATGGAAATTAAAAAAGTGGGAAACTATACATTATACTATGAGAGATAGCTTGGAAAAGGTGTTTTAGGAGAAGTAATAGAAGGAGAAAGAATTGATAATAAAGAAAAAGTTGCAGTAAAAATAGTGAAGAAATCAGCTCTTTAAGATAAATAAAGATTCGAAAAGTAATGTTCAGTTTTAAATAAGTATTGGACTAAGTAAATGCCTTTAAAGAGAGATTATTATCTAAAAAAGTCTAAATAATCCAAATATTATTAAAATGTATGAAGCCAAAGAGTCTGCAAATAATATTTATATGTTTATGGAGAAAGGAGATTGTACTCTTTTAGACTATTAGAAATAAAGTATATGGCAATTATTATTTTTAAGAATTATTTGATAATGACAGTGTTACATAATTAATGAAATAATTATTGTCTGCTTTATAATATATGTCTGAAGTTAAAATAATAAATCAATTGTAAGATGATAAAGAATATGAGGGAATTTGTCATTTAGATTTAAAGCCATAAAATATTCTTATGGTAGGAAATATACCTAAAATCACTGATTTTGGAATGTCTATATAGAAAAACTAAGAATAAAGTGAAAAGTTATTAAATTCTGAGGATGAATTATGCTAAACTCATCACTTTTACTTAGGAAAGGGCACTTTAGTATGATTTTATATTTTAAGTTTGAAATATATGTCCTATGAATAACTACTTGGCGAACCAATACCAGAATTAGAAAAAATTGATGTTTGGAGTCTTGGTATTATCCTTTATGAAATTATTTATGGAAAGCATCCATATATAACATAATAAGAAGGAGTTTAACTTAATTAATTAATAATAGCCAAAAGGATTGAAGAAAAAAAAATTCAATTTCCAGATTCTAAATATGATAATTAAGTAATAGACTTATTAAAAGGTATGTTATAAACTGATTACAAAAAGAGATTTAGCATAAAACAATGCATTCAACATTCATTTTTAAATTGATTATTCAAAATCATTTTGTAAAACAATAAATTCAATACAAAAGCTAATTTTTTCAAACAGATGTTCTGCTTTCTCTCCTAATGATTTAAGATAATCAGAATTACAACTATATTCTTCTGAAAATTGAAAATATTGAGCTTCATTAGTTATCTAATTTATTTATTATAGTGTTCTATTCAAATAATTATTTTCTTTTAAAATCTTCTCTATTTAGCATGTCTTTGCTTATTTTGACCAAAATATCATTCTATTTTATTTATTCTAATTATACTTTGTAAACATAAATCAAATTTTCATCTTTAATTCATTAAATAGATACTTTTTAGAAACAAATCTGTAAAGTTATTGATGAACTTTTAAAATGAAGATCTTGCATTTTATTTTGATTCTGCTATTTTAATATTTTTACCTCTAATTTTTAATATAAATGAAGACTTCTTTAAAAGTTCATTTATTATAGATTAAGAACTTTCACTAATATATTGTAAATAGTATTATAAGTCTTATTAGGCTTTTTAATTTATTAATCTTTTTTAGGATATCTAAATATTATTTATTACATAACCGCATCTTTAAATTAGGTAATTGAAAAAATAAAATTCTAAAATCATTTATCCTTTTACAATAGAATTCTACATTGTTTCCATATAGATGATTTATTACTTTAGATTTAAATTCTAATTCATGAATCTTTTTGGTTAATGCTAATGCTAAAATATTAGTATTTTGAAATCTATAAATTCTATTATTCATAATTAAGTTTTAATAATCAAGCTAATTCATTGGCAAATATAGTCTAACATAATTTAACAACTTAAAGGTGGCTTTTAAAGAAGATAAAATATTAAATTTGATTGTTTTTTTAGTAAAAAAGTATTTGTTTATATAAAAATACTGTCCAATAAAATTATATGAAAAATTGTAAATTGGGATATCAAAATTAAATATCAATATAAAACAAAGATAAATAATAAAAATAAGTAAAAAACTTAAATTCCTAATGATAATGATCATTCAGCATCTAAAATTAAAGAAATCAATTCTTCAAGTTACTCATGTTCGATACCTCTCCATTATTTTAATTTCTTTTTATAATCATTCGGAATATCTATTCCATAGTGTTCTTTTAAATCCATAAGAACTTCTAATGCTAAATGGCAATTTTAATAATCAAAATATGCATATCTCTCTTCACAGATTTCAAAAATGAATTCATTTAAAGTATTTATTTCAGTTTTAAGAATTTATGATTAAATTAATTCAGATAGTATTTTCAAACAAATATCAATTGATCGTTTAGATTTGGTTGTTCTAAGCAATTTAATAACATCATCATATAATAAATATGCAAAAGATTGAATAGTTTCATTATTTTTAATAGCCATATGATAAATTAAATCTAATGCAGCTTAACAAGAATAACTATCTTCTTAAGATAGAGCTGATTTAATTACTGAATCTAAATTTAGATTATCTAAACATGAAATGATGAGTGTAACATCAGATCTTAAAAATAATTCATCAATTAATCTTAATATTTAACAAGTTTATTTATCATCCTATAATTCAGTACATGATAATAAATATTTCAATTTTTCATCATCAAATAATTCTAATAATCCTTCACATAATTCACTAGCCTTTATTAAAACTAAAGCTGCTAAACTTAATCTAGTATCCATTAAATCAATTACTTTTATACAAATGTCAATTATTTATGATTACTTAATTAATTCACTGCAATTACAATCATTTATTTTATCAAATAATCCAAATAATAACCTAAAGACAGCATTTATATGTTCAATCTAATCTTATTTTAAATTTTATAAAGACTTTTATGTTTCAGCAAGTATATTTTAATTAAATAATTATTTCTTAATAGATCTGGCTATTTTTGAATTAGTGTATAATATATTGGCTAAACCAAAATAACATCTGTATCTTATATCTTCATCATTATTCAATTATAGCTTTTGCATAAAGTACATATGAATTTAATAATCATTTATCAAAGTATAAATAGTTTAATCTGATTCAGAAGCACAAGAATTTGCTAATATTACTAAAGCCATTTTATCATTCGATTCAAAAAGTTCTTTCATTAAGTTTTTATCTTATAAAAGTTTATTTGATTATCTTTCAATATTTTATATTAATTCTTAATGAATAGTCTAATATTTAGTAGATTAATCTTTGTTATCAATCACTCTTTTAGATCTAAATACATTTTCCAATTAATCCCTTCTAATTTATACTCTTAATTAATCTCTCTTAGCTTTTAATAAAGAATTTGAATCCTACATAAAAAAGTATAAATAATTAATAAAAATAACTAAATTATTAGTAAACATAATCTTTATTGTATATTCAAATTTCTTTAATCAAAAGTTCTCATTAGATGAATGTTTTTGCTTATAAAAGTTTATAGGATAACCTATCAATATATTAGAAATAAATAAAAATTAATGATGCTATATTTACTTAATGGATCATCAAATTTATTTAGGTAATAATAAATAAACTATAGAGTTTTTACTTCTCTTTATAAAATAATAATTAATAATAATGTCAGAGAATAACAAAAAATCAGTTATTATTGTGAAATAGAACTAAAAAGAAGAAGAGGATGATGAACCCGAATCAGAATCTGAGTCATCTCATTGTTTCATGAATTTTGTGAATTCTTATTCAAGGTTCATTAATGAATAAAGTGACACTTGTTTGGAGATGGGCTCTGTCTTAAATGAATTAAATGAATCAATATCAAACTCAAAGCCTCCATAAGGAAAAGTAGAAGAGTTATATTAGATCTTAGAAATAACTCCTTAACAGATTAATGAACTTGCTTAGCAACTCAAACAACTTCCAGATTCTAAAATATATTAGTGTATCTAAAATATTGAGAAGTATGTATATTTGTAATAAAAATAGATTAAATTTGAAGTTATAATTAGATTTGAATGTTGAGATGGAGAAAGCCAAAGCAAATGGATTGATCTGATCAATTTTGGTTATTTTTATTATACATTATTATAAAACATCTAATGGTGATTAATTTACATTTCTAAATTATTGCGTTAATGAATTAATGACTTAAGTTGAAAATCTAGAACAGATCATTCAATAACAAAAGAAAGAAATATATTATTTGATAAAGGCTCCGTTAAATGATTAAAATAATTATCTAAAGGAGAAAAAGAATCTATTGGAAAAAGAAAATGCAACCTAAGTCAATTATTATGAAGAGATAATAATTTAACATTAAACTTGAAATCAAGAATATGCAAACAAAATTAAAGAAAGCCAAATTCAATTCATTCTAATTATGGATAGATTTAACAAGAAATAAAAATTTAAATCATTTTACAATACAATAATTAGCTATAAGAATAAATTAATTAGGTAGAAACTATTGATTTATAATAATTATTCTAAAAGCTCATGCCGGATCATAATAAAATTTAGTAAAACTTTTGAAAATTTGAATTAGGAATTTCAGTAACTTAAAGATTCTGAATTATGGCAATTAATAAACTAAAACGCATAACTTAATATATCTATCTATAAGATTAATCTAATTAAAAGTTTTAGAATGTAGTTAATTAGTTAATGAATAGAGTGACTTGTAAAATTAATTTTATACTTAGATTTAATAATAAACTAAAAAGATTATGAAATTAAATAACTTTTTAAAAATTTATATCATAATAGAAATGAATCTCCAAAAAGCAAGAATATTATAATATATTATTGATATTTTTAGTGTTTTCTGGAAAATTGTTTCTAACCTTAAAATATATTAGTAAATATTTATTCTAATTTAAGTGGCCTGCATTATATATTTTAACATTCATAATGATACCCACTAGCATTACAATAATTTGATTTATAATACATAAGTCTTTCATTTTAATAATATATTGATTCATGAAATATCTTAAATATAATTAATTGTTTATTAACTCCATAGACAATTTTTTAGTCTTGCATTCATTTCATCATTTATAACGCTATACCTAATCAATAAGAACAACCATAGATTTAAGATAATGAGGAGAAACAAAGATTAATTTAACAAGTAGAATGTATAGATATCAAGATAATCAATATAATTTATAACTTTATATAAACTAAATTATATTTATATATTAATTCAACATTTACTTTGTATTTGTTTTTTTCGAAAATCTTAATATAATTATTATGGATATAGCTATGAAAATTGAGGAAAGCATAATTTCATTGAGAAAATAGGATATACAAATGCTGAGATTAATTATGTAAATTTTAAAAATAAAATTTTAAGTTTATTAATAATGAAAATCAAATATTTTATAAATCTTAACAGCATGACTAAATTTACGAACTATTCATAAAAATACATAAACTATTGATAATTTTAGATTGATCAAATTCTACAATAAAAAAGATTATAATCAATTTTTGATGCTTTACAAATGATTTTTTAAAAGTACATAAAAATAGAGTCCTAAAAATTAATTGATTTGAAGAAACAAGCTGGAGTTCTTTTTCTAAAAATACGGATATAAAAAATAGTATTTAGTTATAAATTAATTAAATGTTCCATGTTAAATTTTTATAAATGGATTTTTTTTTTAATTTATAAACTTTAATAATAACTGAATTTTATTCATAATTACTTACAAAATATCACAAATATTATTTTCAACATTTAAAAAAATCCTGCATAAGATTAAAAATGCCTTTTAAAGAATGTATCTACAAAATCCAGAAATAAAAATATTTTCTAAATTTAACTTTAAATCAATTACTTAAATAGAATCATTAATTATTCNAATTTTATACTTAGATTTAATAATAAACTAAAAAGATTATGAAATTAAATAACTTTTTAAAAATTTATATCATAATAGAAATGAATCTCCAAAAAGCAAGAATATTATAATATATTATTGATATTTTTAGTGTTTTCTGGAAAATTGTTTCTAACCTTAAAATATATTAGTAAATATTTATTCTAATTTAAGTGGCCTGCATTATATATTTTAACATTCATAATGATACCCACTAGCATTACAATAATTTGATTTATAATACATAAGTCTTTCATTTTAATAATATATTGATTCATGAAATATCTTAAATATAATTAATTGTTTATTAACTCCATAGACAATTTTTTAGTCTTGCATTCATTTCATCATTTATAACGCTATACCTAATCAATAAGAACAACCATAGATTTAAGATAATGAGGAGAAACAAAGATTAATTTAACAAGTAGAATGTATAGATATCAAGATAATCAATATAATTTATAACTTTATATAAACTAAATTATATTTATATATTAATTCAACATTTACTTTGTATTTGTTTTTTTCGAAAATCTTAATATAATTATTATGGATATAGCTATGAAAATTGAGGAAAGCATAATTTCATTGAGAAAATAGGATATACAAATGCTGAGATTAATTATGTAAATTTTAAAAATAAAATTTTAAGTTTATTAATAATGAAAATCAAATATTTTATAAATCTTAACAGCATGACTAAATTTACGAACTATTCATAAAAATACATAAACTATTGATAATTTTAGATTGATCAAATTCTACAATAAAAAAGATTATAATCAATTTTTGATGCTTTACAAATGATTTTTTAAAAGTACATAAAAATAGAGTCCTAAAAATTAATTGATTTGAAGAAACAAGCTGGAGTTCTTTTTCTAAAAATACGGATATAAAAAATAGTATTTAGTTATAAATTAATTAAATGTTCCATGTTAAATTTTTATAAATGGATTTTTTTTTTAATTTATAAACTTTAATAATAACTGAATTTTATTCATAATTACTTACAAAATATCACAAATATTATTTTCAACATTTAAAAAAATCCTGCATAAGATTAAAAATGCCTTTTAAAGAATGTATCTACAAAATCCAGAAATAAAAATATTTTCTAAATTTAACTTTAAATCAATTACTTAAATAGAATCATTAATTATTCCTGTTAGAAAGATGAACATGTTTATAATTTGGAACTTTAAAATTAATTATTAGAATTAATTTTTATATATTGGAAAGATAAACTAATTAGATTGAATATCAATTTTTCTGGATACTCGAAGCTTGTTAATAAAAGAATGCTAATGTAAAACTTACTCTAGTAATATTTAGGCATGGAATAGATTAACTACAATGATGGAATGTAAAAATTAGATCAAGTTATGGATAATGGCTGGATGTAAATTTAGCTGTTTTATTAATGAGCATAAATTATTCTGATAATTCAATCTTTAAATTATTATCAATCAAAAGAAAGATAAAGTCTAATAAAAAATAAGCAAGTTTATATAATAAGTATAAAATGATATATTGAGGTGTTATTCTAATAAAGTTCAATATGGTGAAAGGTTAAGAATATATAAAGTAATACATATTTGGAACATTAAGCGATGATAAAAAAAAATGAAATAAAAAATAGAAAAATCCAAATGAAATTGAATTTTGATATATTTTTAATTAATTTAAATTTTATATGTTTTCATCTTTTTCTTTTTTTGAACTTATTATTTTAATAAAATATTAATATTAAAATGATTTCAAGAATAAATTGATTTTGAAAGATTTAATGTATTATATGATATAAATTTTAAGAAATAGAAAAACAATATATATAGTATATTAATAAATAAGAATAATATTAAAAAAATTAGTTTAGATTATTTTGTTATGTAAGATTTAAATAATAAATCAAAATGAAGGTGGATATTCAAAATCTCCAAACTCTGATGGGAGTTAATAAGTGCCTGGACCAGGAACTTAAGATTAATAAATAGAAATACATTATTTATTTTTAATCTCTTATGTCTATCTTTCCTAATAACCAAATCGAAATCCACTTCTAGTAGAATATTAAGATGGTAAATAATTTCTTGGATCACCAATATCTCCAGGAGGATCATAAGTTCCTGGACCAGGAATCCTTTTGATTCTTTGAGATTAGGCAGTATTTGGGGAAATGACAGGAGCTCCACTACTTTTGTATCTTCCTATAAAGTAATTCCCTTTTTAACTGAAACCTCCTATATTATATCTCCCTGGAGCTGGAGTTGTAGATTCAAGATAAATATCTAATTAATAAAGAATAATTAAATACGTTTTGCTGATGTTCTTTCTCCCATTGAATATTTAAATGTAGTGATGATATCTTTCACTTAATATAAATTAGGAGCAGGATTAGTATTAGTCCTACCATGAACTCCTTTAGAAAGCATTTCATCTCTACCAAATGCAAATTTAACTCCTTATTTTGGTTATAATTTAATATTATAATCTGTTGGTCCTGGAATATATTTATCTTTTTTAGTAAAGTCAGATTTGTTACCATAACCTAAAGCTGCTGATCTTTTATTTAATTATGTTTATATTCTAAAATTAATAGTACAATTTACTAAGAATCATAAAACTATATTGAACAATAACTTTCTTTTGACTTTGAAAATCTTTGAGCTTTAGAAAATGTATATTATTATTTTGCATGAGATCTATTTAATTAATCATGTATGATCTTTGTATCAAATTATTCAGCTGTTCTCAGATGCATTAATGAGCCTGTATTTCTTTTATTATAAATCTATTCAAATGTTTTGAATGTCCTTTCAGTTGTTGTTTTTATACGTTATTACTTTTCAGTTTCTGATCTTTTATACTAATCTTTTCTTTGAGTAGTTGTTTCCATTTCACCTTAAGTTACTATTCTTTTTGTTTCTACTTTATCTACTTCTTATTTTTAATCCTTTTGTTCAATTTAATCTTTTATTATCTGTTCATCTTATTTATTTTTGGATTAATCAAAATCTGCATTCTCATCTTATTAGAAACTTTGCTATTTTGTTTAGTTTTAATCTTAATCCTCTATTGGCTATTCTAATTATTCNATAGTATATTAATAAATAAGAATAATATTAAAAAAATTAGTTTAGATTATTTTGTTATGTAAGATTTAAATAATAAATCAAAATGAAGGTGGATATTCAAAATCTCCAAACTCTGATGGGAGTTAATAAGTGCCTGGACCAGGAACTTAAGATTAATAAATAGAAATACATTATTTATTTTTAATCTCTTATGTCTATCTTTCCTAATAACCAAATCGAAATCCACTTCTAGTAGAATATTAAGATGGTAAATAATTTCTTGGATCACCAATATCTCCAGGAGGATCATAAGTTCCTGGACCAGGAATCCTTTTGATTCTTTGAGATTAGGCAGTATTTGGGGAAATGACAGGAGCTCCACTACTTTTGTATCTTCCTATAAAGTAATTCCCTTTTTAACTGAAACCTCCTATATTATATCTCCCTGGAGCTGGAGTTGTAGATTCAAGATAAATATCTAATTAATAAAGAATAATTAAATACGTTTTGCTGATGTTCTTTCTCCCATTGAATATTTAAATGTAGTGATGATATCTTTCACTTAATATAAATTAGGAGCAGGATTAGTATTAGTCCTACCATGAACTCCTTTAGAAAGCATTTCATCTCTACCAAATGCAAATTTAACTCCTTATTTTGGTTATAATTTAATATTATAATCTGTTGGTCCTGGAATATATTTATCTTTTTTAGTAAAGTCAGATTTGTTACCATAACCTAAAGCTGCTGATCTTTTATTTAATTATGTTTATATTCTAAAATTAATAGTACAATTTACTAAGAATCATAAAACTATATTGAACAATAACTTTCTTTTGACTTTGAAAATCTTTGAGCTTTAGAAAATGTATATTATTATTTTGCATGAGATCTATTTAATTAATCATGTATGATCTTTGTATCAAATTATTCAGCTGTTCTCAGATGCATTAATGAGCCTGTATTTCTTTTATTATAAATCTATTCAAATGTTTTGAATGTCCTTTCAGTTGTTGTTTTTATACGTTATTACTTTTCAGTTTCTGATCTTTTATACTAATCTTTTCTTTGAGTAGTTGTTTCCATTTCACCTTAAGTTACTATTCTTTTTGTTTCTACTTTATCTACTTCTTATTTTTAATCCTTTTGTTCAATTTAATCTTTTATTATCTGTTCATCTTATTTATTTTTGGATTAATCAAAATCTGCATTCTCATCTTATTAGAAACTTTGCTATTTTGTTTAGTTTTAATCTTAATCCTCTATTGGCTATTCTAATTATTCTGCATCTTCATTGTTTTCCATCTAATTTTACTGAATCTCCTCTTAAAGCAATTAGTTCATAATTAATTAATTATACACTAATTATCAATATATATTAATTGTAAAATATAATATTAAAAATATAGATTTACATTTTTATACATCCTGAATGTAATTTGTATTCATACAACCTAAATCTGTATATTATTTTTATAAAATATTTATAATCATACTGCAACTTCATTTATATATCTTTCTATTGTCCAACCTCTTTTTACATATTCATCTAATTGTTATACCTATTTTCCAAATATTACTTATGATGTTTAACCTTCAGCCATTTAATTTAACACATATTAAGCTTACTCTTTAACTTCCTCTTCAGAAACTGCTAAAATCTATTACATTTTTTCAGGATCATCAATATTAAAGCTACCTAATTTTGCAGAATTCAAATTATCTTAATCTAAACATTCTAACAATAAATGGACTGAGTTTTCAAAAATTCTATAAGTTTTAAGTGTATGAATATCATTGATAGTGTAAAAAGTTAATTTACCTGGATTATATTGACAATAACCTAATTAAGAATCATTACAATATTAGGGAATAAAAATATGCGTTAAAAGATTAGATAATACATAATTAGCTGGTTTATGGGCTATTTGGATTGTTTCTGTAACACAATTTGTATGTGTATTTAAAGCCACATATAATTTAAGGTATTGAAATTCTTATTTAAATGGGATTATCTCATATTTTTATTCAAATTCTATTTTATTCATTAAATAATCTAAAAATAAATTTGAAGAATATACCATCAAATTATAATTTGATATTTGTCAAAAGTAAATTTAATTAAGATTATAGTTTATCTTTTAAAAGTGGATTTGAGTATATCTCAAAAGATTAAATATTTTTATTCATAATTTTATAGAAACAAGCAATTAATTTTTGACTCAGTTATTCCAAGATTTATTTTGCACTATAATTTTTTAAGATTTCAACTTCCAACTAACAAATTTTCCTTGCTTATTAAATGATTGGATATTTCTCTTATTAAGAATAGGATATGGCAATTTGAGTTATGTCTTCATTACTTAAATAATTAGCACTTATAATAGATAAGGATTAGCTTATCAATTCTAGATTATCTAATGCTGGGTCAGTTACTAATTAGAATTATTAAAAGGCTTCTTATATATTCTTGTCTAAACAAATTAACTCTATTATAAATTTATCTTCAATTACAAAACATTCAACATCATGTTAACTGACTTACTTATTGAAAAATTCTGGTAATAAATCTTTTAAAATGCAAATAGTTTCATAATCTTTTTGACTGAATTAACTTACATCAATAATCCATTTAATATTACTTTATTGAGGATGTTTAGCTGCAAAAATACTACAAGGAACATTAACTACAATAATGATATGATAAATTACAATTAAGATCTAAAGTTATTAAATTTTTTTATTTTAATAATGGTATAATATTAGCAGCATTTAATTAAGGTAATGATTCTAAACTCAAAACATCTGTGTCTTCTTCAATAATTTTTTATTATTCAGATAATTTTTGATAGTTCACTTACAATTACTTTAAATGTTGTTTAATTTCTAAATTCATATCTTCTATATAATATTGATCAGGTTCCATATTTATAGTGCATTTGTCTTGAGAAAAATATTTTTAAATCAAACTCTAAAAATCTTCACTTTTACATTCTTAATTTAGATAAATAGATGGTTTGACTTTATTAATAATATATGGAATTAAATCTTAAATATTGATTGATCTTCTCAATCTGATTCTGTCTAATGCAATATTGATGATATTTTAAGGAATTACTTAATAAATATTATCAGTAAGTTATTTAATGAAATTATACAATTCTTATTCAGATTCCTTATTATTAAATCCAAATTATATAATTTAATTATGTAATGTCATATCAGCTCCATAATTTAGACAATATTAACCATATTTTTCAAGAATAGGTCTCAATCCATAATCTTAAATATCATGTAAGAGAAAAGATAGAATACCTAATTTAAAATAATCTTCAGGTGTTTCAGTTAAATTAGCAGTTCTATAAGCAAATGAAAATGAAGGTTATCCTCTTAATAATAATCTTGGTTCAAATAATTTAACAGGTTGAAAATCTAATTATTTAATTGGAATAATAGAATTTTAATGTGATTTAATTAATTAATCAAAATATTAACAATATTGTAAAACATCAATATCTCCAACAGTGACAATATAAGCATTAGATAAATGAATATAATCCTTATAATATTATTAGCATATTTCATATGTGGCATTAGTCATTTCTTTAGGAATTCCTCCTGTTGTATATTAATAAACAGTGCCATTTAAAAGATGTTTTCTAACTGCTTCTGCATGAATAAATTCAGGTTATTCAAATTATTTAATCATTTAATCATAAACAATTCCTCTAAGAATAAGTTCATTGCCTCCAAGCACTTATACCCTTATTTATTATAGGAAATCAACTTCTCTGAACATTGGTCTAAAAACTTATTCAAATGTTAAATTAAAAAGTTATTTCAAATCTTCAAATAAAGCAGATTAAACTTAAAATGTAGTATGATCAGTCCCAACATAAGGTACTAAATCTGAAGGTTATAGAGATCGTCCTCTCATATGAGACCAAGCATCTCTCACTGGGTATTTTTATGAACCACATGTTAAGATTTATTATACAATATGAGGAATTCCACTATTATCAATAGCAGGTGTTTTAAATATCAAAGCACCCTAATTTATCACTGAGTTTGTAGCAAAGTGAATATAATTCGTATTTGTTTCTATATGATGCATATTATAACACAATGTCTAAAAATCTCTTGATCTGTAAAATTCATCAACTTTAAAGTTGCTATAAATCTCTCCTTCCTTTAATTACTATTTAAATACACCTCTAACTAATTTTTCATTAACTAAACATACCTTATTTAATATTATGTGATGGTGCTAAATTTTGCTTTTCTTAATTAATTCATCATTAATTATATAAATTATAATTTTATAATTATGAAAAATTATAATTAATGCCTCTAATTCTTGTAAAAAACAATATATATATCGAGAATTTGTTGTATTCATTTAATCTATATTTCTTAATAGCTTAAACATTGAAATCTATCATGATAGTAGAATTTATCTCTTTGATTCAATTTTTTCTATAACAAGTTTCCTTATTCGAAAAATATACTTCTTATGAGTAAATTTAACAAATATTATCTGTAGGTTATTAAATAAATTTCTACTAAAGAAAATAAAAAAATGTTTATCTAAAAGAGCGTTTTTGTCACTTCAATAATGTTTATAAAATAAAAATTCCAGAAATATATTTATTTTATTCTTTTCTTTTGAAAACATGATAAAAAATAATTAAACACATATTTAAGTGTAGCATTATTTAAATCGATTGTTTAATATAGATAAAGTAATTTAAAGTAGTGATTTTAATAAAATTCATATTGATTATGTAAAAAAAAACGCTGTTAAATCGATAATTGATTCTAGAATGGTTTGATTAAACAGATGAGGCATTTGCTGATAAGCTTCTAAAAGATAATCAATTCTCATTCTCAAAATTGCCTAGGAGAGAAGAAATTTTATCAATTTTAAGCTCAGTTGAAAAAGCTTATAATAGTAAAAGAGGTGCTTGGACTCCTTGCTAAGATAAATTTCTTAATATAGCAGTTTTAGGTTTATGCCTAAAACATCAATAAAATCCTATTGAACTAGTATTTCAATTATTTTATCAGTTTAATAGACTTCCTAATAATGGAATGAGATTTCTAATTTGTTTAGATTTCATAATTGGAAAGCTTGTAGAAATCGTTGGTTAGAAGAATCTCGTAAAAAGGCTTGTTGGACACCTTTAGAAGACAAAGTTTTAAAACAATTACAATAGTTTAAACCAAATAAATGGTGTGAGATTGCTATTGATTTAATGAGAATTTGTAAAACTCCTTATATTAGATAAGGAAAATCATGTCGTGATAGATGGGTAAATAAACTTGATCCAAATATTATCAAGTATAAATTCAAAAAATATTAAAATAGTAATCCTTGGACTAAAGAAGAGGAGCTTCTTTTGTTTAGAGAAACAGAATTAAGAGGTAAAAAATGGGCTGAAATTTCCTCTTAAGTATTCTAATCATAAAGAACAGAGAACAATATTAAAAATAGATATTATAATATATTTAAACAAGCTGAATCGTAACATACTTTTGGAAAAATAACAAAAGAATAAAAAAATAAAATACTAATTAATTCAATCATTAAGTAATTCGAAGGAGCGATTAACTATCATAAAAAATAAGAAGAAACAGTAGAATAAGAACTAAATAAATATTAATTACATTTATTTGATTTTAATGAATTAGATGATTATGAAGGCATTGCAATTTTGTCCAAAAAGAAATTTGTTAAATTAAATTATCAAAATTGATATTATTATTTTATATTCCATATTTTTCAATCTAAATTCGAATTATCCACAAAATAAATTTAATCGAAAAATTTTAACCTCATTTAATATATGTTAAATATAGTAAATTCTAATCCATTCTAAAGAAAAATTTATGATCATATTTATTAATATGATTATTTTTCTATTATTTAACAGGAATTTGGTAGATCATACTTAAATTCATTAAATATTATATATATGTGTTTTTATATGATTGAGATTAATTGATATTAAAAAATATTAAAAAAAAAATTTAGTTAGAAGAAAGTATAAGAAAGTATAAGAAATTTAAGAAATTTTGATATTGAATATCTATAAAATATACATCTTTTTAACTCTAAGATAAAGGAGATTAATTTGCCATAAATAATTGATTTAAAATATTTTAAGAAATTCAAATTAATTATCTTAAAATGAATTAAATACTTGATAGCTAAGCTAAAAAGGTTTAGAGAGTTATCGAGATGATATTTTACATATTGCCTTGTCAATATTGTACTGATTATAATATAATTGAATCATTCCTTCAAAGCAAACTTTCTTAATGGGAAATTGTTGAGTCTCTTCCATTATCTCTATGTTTTTTAAGCTTTTAAAAATATTTTAGAAATAATACCTCTTTCACTTCTTGTAAGTCTTTATCTAATTGCTCTAGTTTATTTACCTCTTAGATCAACTGGAAGTTTGCCACTTGATTTTGTAGCATTTTTGACTGAATTTCTTCTTTATTCATTGATGACTGTCAAATATTTGGCAATTCGCTTTCTAACAAGCTTGATTATTCATATAATTTTTTACTCCAATTCTGCCTAGTTTTTAGGCATTACCAGCTGATACTTTAACTGTTCTCAATTAAATCAATTCTCCCTTTAACTTTTCTAAGTCCTTGAGGAGATCTTCAGGCTTTTATTCTCTGAGCTTTTTAACCTTGAACTTTTAGGACATTTTTTAAATAAAAGGATTTAATTTTAATCAAATATGAAGAAATATTTTCAATAAGATAATCAATATTATCCTAATATATAATAATGTTTTCAGAATTTATATGCATGATTCGTGCAATAACTTAAATTATCTATATTAAATAATAAGCATGCTTTTTAAATTAAATAACATTATTTATTTATCAATGATCGAAAATATACTTCAAATAAATCATTTCTAATCAAAAATATATATCAAATAAATCATTTCATCTAAATATTCTCATAAGAGATTATTGAGAGCAAATATAAATTATCAATATATTTATTTTGCAATTAATACTAATATAAAGTTTATTTTTTTATTTTTAGAATATTTTAATATGACGGAATTCTTAGAGCATTTAGGGAAAGATTCATTTAAAATCAAAGCTGATTAGCCAAATGATAATAATAGTAAAGTATAAAAATTTCCTAATGATGTTACTTATTTCATGAATTATCAACATGGATACTAATTAGAATTTCAAAATAATATTTTAAAGAATGTGTACTTATATGGGAATCATGATAAACAATTTAAACCATACAAAAATGTTTTGCCATATAGAATTATTTTTACGATGTGTAATGCGGTACTAAAAATTTTTATATTTTAGCATATAGTAGCAAAGTTTGGTGAGCCAACTAGTAAATAAGGAGGGGGTCCGATTAATATTGGAATAAGCTATGATCATTTAGGAATAGAAATAACTTTTCAAACTAAAACTTGGGATTAGCCTAATGTGGCTATAGATCAAATTATTTTGTATGAACCCTCAAATTAAACAATCTGTGGAATTTGTAAAAAAGTTGGAGATTTGAGATGTGCATAATGTAAGTTAGTTTATTATTGCAGTGTTGGTTGCTAAAAAACGCACTGGAAGCAACACAAAGTATTTTGTAATTGATAAATGATTATAATGTAATTTAATTTATGTAAATTTATTTTAAAAATTTCGATTATTCTTTCTAGAAGAAGGAATTAGTTTGATATTCAACTTTAATTTTATTTTAAAATTATTAATAATTCAGTAATTTTTATTTTTATTCTAATGAAGGTAGTTATATGATTTCCAATATATTTTTGATTTATATAAAGTTTTCTTCATCTAATTAAATGAATTAATGCTGTTAATAAAAAAATAAATAATGAATTAATTGACAATTTTAGGAATGAAAGCTTAAAATGAAATTGCAAAATTAAGGATTTAGAAGAAAAGAAAGTAATCTTAGAAGAAAACTAAATGTAATAAATTAGAGTAAATTATTAAAATAAATTTTTAGAAGCAAATTTTAGGTATTTAAAAGAAGATGTAGTATTATAAATACTTTTTTATGCTAAAAATATTAGTAAGGAAAGATAATTTAAGAAGAATACTAAAATTTTAATAAGAGATGAATAAACCTTTTTGTAGTAACTTTAATTAAATGATATGAATTTTGAATGAACAAATAGTAGAATTGAACTAATGAATTAGCAAATGTTAAATTGATATTATTATTTTATAATTGTATGGCTTCTTAAAAATTTATGGAATTCTTATCAAGCAACGATAAGTTAAGAATGAATGATATGAAACTGATAGAATAAGAATAATATTATATCAGCTAATTAAAAGATTAAAGGGAAAAAGTAAAAAAATAATTTTAATGATAGATGGAATTATTAAAAATTGAATTTCTGAAGAAGGATCATGTAATTTTAGATTTACAAGGACATTTAGAATAATTATAAGAAGAATGCGAGTAACTAAGAGAAATTTATTAAGAACATGTACAAAATTAGGAAAATGAATTTTACAGATTGAATAAATTATAGATGGAAAAAGATAATTTAATGAAAGATAATATGGAATTAAAGGATGTAATATAACATTTACGAAATGAAAATGAAACTTTAAATGTATTCAAAATGAAATTATATGATAGTCGTTATAATTTAAAAATGATGATTAGTAAAGATAGTTATAAGAATAATTGGTTTTATTATCAGAAGAAAATTCAAGATTAAAATAAGAGATTGCTAAATTGGATGAACTATTGTTTACATTTGAACCTTTAAAAGATGAAAATGAAAAGTTAAATGAAAAACTAAAATATTATAAGCATGAAAAACATAGATTATCTTAAGAATTAAAATAAGGAAAGCAAGAAGTTAATAGATAAATAGAGGAATTCAAGTCAGGTTATGTTAAGGAGTTAAAGAATGAAATTTAAAGGCTACAAGAATACAAAGATCAGTATCAATAATTAAAAATACAAATTCAAGATTTATAATAGAGATATATTGAAATAGCCAATGAAAATGATGATTTAAAGTAAGAAATTAAATCCCTTTATGAGAAAGAAGAAAGTGAAATTAAAATAAAATCAGAGATAGATAGAGTATATAAATTATTTAAAAGTTAAGGTTAGATAAGATCTAATGTCAGTAAGATAATAAGAGTGTTTGAAATTGAATGAACTATTTAATGGTATGATTAGTTTGAGCAGTTTAGCAAACTCTAGAGATCATTTTAATTGAATTAAATTTTTGCATTACCAATAATCTATATATTAAACTTAATCTAATTATAATTAATCTTTAAATCCTTATGATTATTATTTATATTAAAAATATTTAAGTAAATTGATGATTAAATTGATAAATATTTGGATAGAAGTTTTGATACTTAAATGAAAGTAATTAAAATATTGAATTTATTAGATTAGAATCATTGAATGGCATAATTGAATTAATGTAAAAATTGATCTAAAGCTAATGGAATATAAATTATAAATAATAATATTAAATAAAAAACAATGAGTAAAAAGGATGATATTATAGAAATAAACCTTGAAGAAAAGATTTAAAAAGAGAAACGAAACAAATAGAATTTTAGAAAAGGTTTCTAAGAGAAGAGATAGAAATTATAAGCATTTTTTAATGATAGGAAGAGAAATGACAATCGTATTCCTGGAGCAATTGTTGATATAACGAATTTACATTATAGTGTTACAAATGATGAATTGAAAGAGCTTGCTTAACAATTTGGAAAAGTGATAAGAGCTTAAGTAGAATGGGATAAAATGGGAAGATCTTAAGTAAAAAAATTAATTATAATTCAAAGGAATAAGGCTTCATAGAGTTTTTTTATGTTTCAGATGCAAAAAAAGCAGTTGAAACTTTAAATAATACAACAATTGAGAGTTTACCAATGAAAGCTTAATTAAGAGATTCAACTATGAAAAGAGGCATGTTCAAGCGATGATGAATATTAATGTACGAACAAAGGTGTTAATCAATCAAACAAGCCTCCCATATCAACATCTTCTTCTGGTTCTTCAACTTTCTTAACTTCTTTAGCTGGTTCAGGAGCTTTTGCTTATTAAGTAGCAGGAGCAGATGTTTATGCAGCAACTTAAGTAGCAGGTGCATTTCCAGTATTTCCATGTAATAAATCTCCTACTCTCTTTCCTTTGAGTGCCTTTTCAAATACTTTTGTCCAAATTGGTTCAACTCTTAAATTAGCAGCTTTAAGGATTTATGCTAATTTAGAAGCAACAATCTTAGTTTTATTTACTATATTACTTCTTAATTGTCTTCATACAAGATTAAAGCAGCATAGGTACAAGCTGTTTCTGATGTAGCTTAATCTGCAATTGGTCGAGTGTCTTTTTATGCTCTTGCCATTTAAAAAAATAATTAAAAGATTTAATATTTTATGCTCATCTTATTCTTCTCAAAATTCATTACTTAAAAACTATCTGTGAGCTTCAAGGTTTATATTCCAGGCTATATCATCTAAATATTGACTTGATCCTTCTCCAATCAATCTAAATCATATAACCATAAATCTTTACCTTGCTTTTTATTCCTTTATAAATCCTTTTCTTATCTATGGCTCAATCATTTTAGACATATTATTATAAGCATAATAATAGCATCTAAACATTTTATAATAGTTTTTTTAGATAAATATGAACTCATACTATTTATACATAATAATTAGATACTTCATAAAAAATAAATTGGATCATTTTCAATATCAATAATTTATGATTAAAAATATTGAGAAGTTGATAATTTTTGCCTTTGATTTCATGATATAAAATGATATAACATAAAATTCTGATTTATTTTTAGGCTTAATTATCATTAAATAAAGTTCTAATAATTCCATTTAGAATTATTAACGTATGCAAATCGAAATTTTCAATACTTACTCGAGCATTTGTTTCGTTTATTTTGACTGTAAATTGATTAACAATATTTTAAACATTTATGTCCTATTTAATAGATCACAATTATTCCAAAAAATATAGTAATAATTAATTTCACCAGTATTATATTGCTTTTTGAATAATTTCAAAGCTTATTGGAGATTATTAAGTGCACGAATTTGTGAAAAGTCAATTTATTAAGTTGATCTCAAATATTGTTTATATAGAGATTAATTACTTGGTTCTTGGATTTCTTTTTTAGGATATAAAGCATTATATAGTAATTCTGCATCTTCTTATGGTTGTTTTTTATTCTTTATAGTTGATATTTAGAAATTTTATATTAATTAGTCATATAAAATAATTCTTATCAGCACCAAGCATCATGCTTTTAGTACCTAAATCTTTTTTCATATTTTCTGGACTTTCACTAAAAATATTGAAATAACGATTGTCTAATTCATCAATTTCAAGAATTGAAGCAAGATTACCATTCCTATATAAATAATTAGGAGCACTCCAAACAGTAATACATCTGTCTTCAAATTTTAAATTAAATCCTTCATTGCATAATTAATGAGCTCTTATTAAATGGGTCATATTATTGAAATGTAGAAATTCTTTAAGAACTTATCCTCCAAATACAAAACCTGCTCCTCTTGGAGAAATCTTAAAACCTGGAGTATCTTNAGCAGTTGAAACTTTAAATAATACAACAATTGAGAGTTTACCAATGAAAGCTTAATTAAGAGATTCAACTATGAAAAGAGGCATGTTCAAGCGATGATGAATATTAATGTACGAACAAAGGTGTTAATCAATCAAACAAGCCTCCCATATCAACATCTTCTTCTGGTTCTTCAACTTTCTTAACTTCTTTAGCTGGTTCAGGAGCTTTTGCTTATTAAGTAGCAGGAGCAGATGTTTATGCAGCAACTTAAGTAGCAGGTGCATTTCCAGTATTTCCATGTAATAAATCTCCTACTCTCTTTCCTTTGAGTGCCTTTTCAAATACTTTTGTCCAAATTGGTTCAACTCTTAAATTAGCAGCTTTAAGGATTTATGCTAATTTAGAAGCAACAATCTTAGTTTTATTTACTATATTACTTCTTAATTGTCTTCATACAAGATTAAAGCAGCATAGGTACAAGCTGTTTCTGATGTAGCTTAATCTGCAATTGGTCGAGTGTCTTTTTATGCTCTTGCCATTTAAAAAAATAATTAAAAGATTTAATATTTTATGCTCATCTTATTCTTCTCAAAATTCATTACTTAAAAACTATCTGTGAGCTTCAAGGTTTATATTCCAGGCTATATCATCTAAATATTGACTTGATCCTTCTCCAATCAATCTAAATCATATAACCATAAATCTTTACCTTGCTTTTTATTCCTTTATAAATCCTTTTCTTATCTATGGCTCAATCATTTTAGACATATTATTATAAGCATAATAATAGCATCTAAACATTTTATAATAGTTTTTTTAGATAAATATGAACTCATACTATTTATACATAATAATTAGATACTTCATAAAAAATAAATTGGATCATTTTCAATATCAATAATTTATGATTAAAAATATTGAGAAGTTGATAATTTTTGCCTTTGATTTCATGATATAAAATGATATAACATAAAATTCTGATTTATTTTTAGGCTTAATTATCATTAAATAAAGTTCTAATAATTCCATTTAGAATTATTAACGTATGCAAATCGAAATTTTCAATACTTACTCGAGCATTTGTTTCGTTTATTTTGACTGTAAATTGATTAACAATATTTTAAACATTTATGTCCTATTTAATAGATCACAATTATTCCAAAAAATATAGTAATAATTAATTTCACCAGTATTATATTGCTTTTTGAATAATTTCAAAGCTTATTGGAGATTATTAAGTGCACGAATTTGTGAAAAGTCAATTTATTAAGTTGATCTCAAATATTGTTTATATAGAGATTAATTACTTGGTTCTTGGATTTCTTTTTTAGGATATAAAGCATTATATAGTAATTCTGCATCTTCTTATGGTTGTTTTTTATTCTTTATAGTTGATATTTAGAAATTTTATATTAATTAGTCATATAAAATAATTCTTATCAGCACCAAGCATCATGCTTTTAGTACCTAAATCTTTTTTCATATTTTCTGGACTTTCACTAAAAATATTGAAATAACGATTGTCTAATTCATCAATTTCAAGAATTGAAGCAAGATTACCATTCCTATATAAATAATTAGGAGCACTCCAAACAGTAATACATCTGTCTTCAAATTTTAAATTAAATCCTTCATTGCATAATTAATGAGCTCTTATTAAATGGGTCATATTATTGAAATGTAGAAATTCTTTAAGAACTTATCCTCCAAATACAAAACCTGCTCCTCTTGGAGAAATCTTAAAACCTGGAGTATCTTCATCATCAGGATCTGACCACATAATATCTGTAAACACCCTCATGTGGAATTTCTTAAAATCTATTTAAATATTCAATTTCATCAACACTCTCAATACAAGGAGACAATCCTCCATGAACACATAATAGATTTGTACCAACTATACAAGCTATTGGTATATAATCAAACATCTCTGTAAAATATTCCCAAGCTAAAGTATTACCATATTTCTATTAACATTCCATGTAAAACCCATAATTTTATGTTATACCTCTTGTTTCATGATTTCCTCTTATTAATGTAACTCTATTTGGAAATTTTACTTTAAGGAGGGAAAGTAATGTGATTACTTCCACACTATGAGCACCTCTATCTACATAATCACCTAAAAATAAGTAATTTGTAAATGGAGGCTTTCCTCCTACTTTAAATAATTCTTAAACATCATTTAATTGACTTAATAAGATTTCTCAAAATAAATACCCATGAACATCTCCTACTATTGTAACAGGAGTTGGGATCTTTTTTACATTTGGTTCCTTTGAAAATATCTCTTTTAATGTCAAACATATAAATTTAATTGCATTTTCATTTAAAAGTTCACCTGAATATGCTTATTCAAGAAATTTATCAATCATTTTATAATTATATAGAATTATTATTTAACTGTTTTACAAATTTTGCTGCGTTTCTAAGCACATCATAGTTATCAAAAGGATTTGTGTAAAGAGAATTATTTCTTATTAATAAATTTAATTATAATACCTCTTTCTATATGAACTTCGACTTATTGATAAATTTTATTCATCCTATAATAAGTTTGGTAACTTTTTTGGAATACTCTAAGATATCTAAGGAATAGATGGTTAAACATTTCTTATTACTCTCTCAGTATTTTATTATTTTGGCTTATTGAAAAGATTGCATGTTGATTTATAATTTTCTAATTCAACTTCTAAATATTAAATTAATGTGTAACACTTTGATAATTACTCTTTTTTTTATTCTAATTATTTTCTTAAATCTGTAACTTCAATATTTACACTTTATAATTATTAAAGTTAAGCTATATTTTCTAAATGATGTTACCTAGATTTCAACTATTCATCTTTCTTCCCTATTTATTAATTCAAATTTCTAATCATTTTTTCATATTAGAAAATCTTTTACTTTAACTCATCTATTTAATCAAATTTTATTGGTGTTGAGGGTCTTGATTTCTCTTTTACTTCTCTTCTTACTACTATCGAATTTGATTAAAGTTTTAATTTAGTCTTTTCACCTTTCTCTTTTGGAACTTAAATTATTTAATTCATAAATTCATTTTATTTATTTTGGCAACTCAATTGCTCTTTTAATTCCAAAAGCAAATCTTTTTACTTCAAATTTTCATATTTTTGTTACATTAATTAATCACTTAAGTTCGCTATCAAATCTTATAAATTCTCAATTTCTTTTGTTTTTTATTCAAATTCTTTTTCAAGTTCTTCTTTTGTTCCATTTATTTATTTAAACTCTATTTCCATAGATTTTAATTTATTTTCTAATAATTCTTATTTCTCATATATATCGTCATCTAAATTTCCAAAGCAACTTGCATCCTATGTAACTTTTAATGGCTAATTTTTCTGAAAATATTCTAGTATCAAATTCTATCTTAGATTTTCTTCCTCTAATTTGCTCAAGTCATTCTATAATTTTGTATAATTATTTTTCAATTATATATATTCTTAATTTTCTTTTATTTAATCTTCACTATTTTAAAATCCCAATTATTCATTTTCTTATTAACAATGAATAGTTGTATATGGAGTGACTTTAAGAGACCATTCAGTTTAAATATGAGTACTTCGACTAAGTTTTGTATTCGTAGTCACTGTTTCAGGAGTACAATTAATATGATTATTCTCTGTTAAATCTGATTCTAATTTTAATTTAAATTTTCTTGAATTTTTTCGTCTCTTTTACTAAATTCTCTAAGCTTAGATTAAATGATTTATTTTTCTATCTTTATAATATTAATAATCATTCTATTATTTTTATTTTCCAAGTTCTTAATTATATAAATCTTTTTTAGTCGAAATTGAAATATCTTATTTTGCCTATTAATCAATATATTCCTTGAGTGTTATTCCATTTTAATCTAATTAAGGAAATAAATCCTTCTAACTTTATTAAATAAAATCTTCTTCTTTATTTTGAATAACTTACTTATTTGATTCAGCTATTTCTACATTTTGAATAGTATTTTAAAATTCTATATTTTATTCTTAGTTTTCTTCAGTTTTTAATTAATTTTATTCCTCTTCTATTACTTTCAAGCTTTGTATTACATTTTCATTAGATTACAATTCGTTTATTTATTCTAAATTCTATGATTATTCTTAGATTTAATTTTTAGTTTTAATTTATACAGAATTTTCTTCTTTTGCCCCTATCAATAAAGGAATGGCTTGGGGTTATAAGTAATCATAGGTTCTTCTTCTTTATTATTATGGTTTAATTACTTCTTTTTATTCTATTATTGTTTCAGATTATGATACTAGAATCTCTTATTATTCTTGATTAATTATCTCATCATTAAGACTTTCTTCTTAGTTTTGAATTGAAATTTCATTTTATTACTCCTCTTTTTATATAGTAATCAAGGCTATATCATCTGTTTATGTGTATTTATCTTCTTTTTTGATTTGATCTGATAAGAATATTTTAGAATTTTCTAATTTCTCATTAGGTAAACTATCTGTTCTTTCACCCTCACTAAATTATTGTATTAAATCTGATTATTCCATTATACTTGGAAATACTTAAAGATCTTCTAATTTATGAACTGAATAAGATACTGGTTTTTAATTAGATTTTATTTAAGAATCTTGAGATGCTTATAAACTGTTTTTTAAATAATTCAACTATATCTCTGAAATTTTCTTTTCTAATGTTGCTATAATCTTCTCTTAAGAAGAATTTATTTAATATTATTTATTAAGTTTATTTTTCAAATCTATATTTTAAACTTCATACATATTTTAAATTTCATTAAATTCTAATTTTTATTCTTAATTAGATTTAATTATTAGAAATAAATATTCTAAAGAGGATTAAAGCATTTACTAACTCTCTTATATCTTTAACTCTTATCCTAAAAATGATGATGCATTTTTATATATTTCTTTGATTAATTAATTATAATTTTTCAAAGTGGTTTAATTCTCTTGATTTAAAAATTATAAATCTTTAATTTCTTACAATAATTAAATTTACTGATATTATTCTTTTTTGAATTTTGAATCTCCATCTTTATATTACTATAGAAGTTTATTATATTCATATTACTGATTATTAATTTTTTATTCCTAATTTATTTATAATTCTTTAAGTATTTCAACATGATTTCTTAAATCATTAATCAGAGTATCATTTTCAACTTTATGTGTTTAAATGTAAGCCTCCTTTAATTTAAAATCCTCTTACAATTTATCATAAGTTTCTTTCAATCTATTATAATCTTTATCCTTTAAATTTGATAAATTAGTTAACTATTCAATTTATTCTTAAAAATTTTTTTTATAATTATCGAAATCACTATTTATACACTTACTTTTAATTTCCCATTATTGGATTTGATCCTTCATTTCCTATTCTAATTCATTAGTTTTCTCATTTAATTTATTTTACCAATATACTTTTTGATCTGTTAACTTAGTATCATAATGAATTGATTATTTTTTTATTAATTCTTCTTTTTAATGAATAGTTTTAATTAAAGTTGCTCTACCTGTTTCTAAATCAACAATTTTTGTATTTAGTTATTTGATAGTATTTTCTAATTTAAAAACCTATGAAAAAAATTAATCTTCAAGCTATTAAAACTATGTTTTTGAAACTGTAAGAGCCAATTCCAATTCTTTTCTCTCAGATTCAGCTTCTTATTTAGTTTTTTCATAGATCTCTTTATTTTCTTATTGAAGCTCTTGAATTACATTTCTATAAGACTCCAATTAAGCTTCCAATTATAAAATTCTCTAATCTTAATTTGAAATAGTATCCTTATAATATGCAATGTCTTGTTAAATATAATATTATAGATTTACCTTCCTTTAGCAATTCATTTATAGTAATTAAATCTGCCAATTTTTTCAAAAGTTCTCTACTTTCACCTTTAACATTGATATCCATAACTAATTATGAATATTCTTAACATCTTTTCAATAATATTTTGTATACCTTTAATCTATATAATATTTTGTTGCTAAGAGTTATTCCTTTAAGGATTAACATTCTTCTGAGGATACATGAAATATCTTTTATAAATGCTATTGATTATTTCTTAACTTTTGTTGAAAATGTTAACTTATTTCTTTAATTTTTTCATTTTATAGTAGTTAATCTGCCATTATAATTATTAATTAAGGCAATCAATGTTACAATCATCTTCAATATCTTTGATTGAATCATAAGTACCCTATGTATAATAACCAGATCTAATACAAAAAGACCAGAAGTTATAGAATCTACGAAAGAAGAAGTTCTTTTAGGAAAGGCAAAGATTCTCTTTCTTTAAATCTACTCTGTGAAAGCAAACAATATTGGTACTCAATTCTCTAATATCATAAGATTTTGAAGAGTTTCCCTTAACATCTAGCAGCACTTTTATATTTAGGATTAATTTATAAACAAGAAGAAAATTTAAAAAAAGTGATAAATATTAAAATTATCCTACATCTATCAAAATTTAGATAATAATTCAGAAAATTAGATACTCTTATAAATTTATAGACGACAATATCCTGATTAATCTAACAATTAATTTTCACTTTAAAATAGTCAACGATACCATTAATCTACCTAATCTTTATCAAAAGATTTATTAAATCAAATTTTTGCCTCAACTATTTTAGGAAGTTTTTCACTCACTGTAATCAATTGGAAAAAAAGATATACTTATTTATTTATATATGCTTGGAATTCTACTAGGATTTTTGGATATCTTGGATTAAATTCCCATAAATTTAAATGCCTTAGTTTTGAAATATTTATGTTAAGCTTATTAGCACTATATTTAGATCAAGATATTTTTGTATGATAATAATTTTATTAATTATTATATCATTAATAATTCAAGATTAATTCTAATTTACAATTAATAATTAATTCTAAAAAACACCTAAAACATTTATTCATTTTACATAATACAATTATCAAGTTTTTTATTATTTAATTAAAAAGGTAAAAAAAATTTTATAGTAAAACATGGAATTAAAAAATAAGAATATAATATCCTTAAATTTCTGTTTTGAATTAAATTAAATTTTAATTAAGACACTTTTTTCAAGCTATAGATGCATTTCTAACTTTAGAGAAGTCCTTTTTTGCTACTGAAGTTAATTATCTTTTGAATTATGGCGATGTGATATTTAATCTATCATTTTTTTAAATATATTAGGGTCTTCTTTACCCTTAAGAAGCTGTTGTTGATTTTGAAGTTTAATTTAGTAAATTACTATTATCAATAGATTTACTTATTAAAAATGATTTATCACATTATTTCATTTCTTTTTCTAAATTTTGTGCTTATTATTATATTTTTTTTCTATACCCATTTTCATTAAAATTGTCTACAAACATATTTTCTATTAGTATTTGATGTTATTTACTTATCAAATCTCTAACTTACTGTTTAATTATTAAAGATTGTCTATTGTTGTTATTAACATTCATTTATTTTAATAGATTTATTATCGATCTTGTTTGTTTTACTAAATGAGTTTTTATTCTTTTAAATTTATAACTTAAACTTCTATTTATTTTTAATAGGAGTGTCTTCTCATAATAGATTTATTTATAGTAGTATGATGAGGCAAAGTATTATTTTAATTTAGATCTCCTAGATCAATTGATGATTTATCAGTTATTTTAGTGTCAACGCTTAAAATGAATCTATGGTAGGTCTAATATTATATTCTTAATCATCCAAAAAGATCTGAGATATTCTAATAATCAAATCTAGCATAGTTTTAATGCTGATCTTGACATTTTTTTGACTATTACTTGATCTATTACATAGATTTAAACTCCAAAAAAGAAGGACTCTTTGCATCAATTTAATGTTAATTTATCAATTTTCTAACTTGATTTATTATTTATTTGACTATTCCATCAAATATAATTTCTGAAATCATAATAATATGGTTATAATAATTTTATTTATAAATAATAATTTATCAAATTAAATGGGCATCATCCTTTACTTCTTGAAGATATGGATGATTATAAATAATGTCTAAAGTAGTTCGGGTAGTTGAATCTGGTTATAGAAATTGTTCTAAAAAATCTTAAGTGATTAAATCTATTTATTATTTTGATAATTTTTAAACAAGTGCCCAATATTATTACCATTTTTTTTGTTAAATTAATTTCCACAATTTGCAATTCGAACTAGGTTTCGTACATTTAAAGGGCATAAAACCTAAAATTAACTAAAATAAGGTAACTCCTAATGAAAACACATCACTCTTAATTAGTACTTGAGTATTGATATTCTCACTATTATGTCCTCCTAATAAGGTTTCTTAGTGTAATTCAGGAGGCATATAACTAAGAGTGCCAACAGTTCTTTTTGCTGTGCAATTGCTTAGCAGTTCTGCAAAACCAAAATCACATAAAACTAGTGCTCCTTCTTTGTCTATTAAAATATTTTCTAATTTGATGTCTCTATGAACAACTTGGTTTAGATGGACATAATTAATGATTTTGATTAAAGTCTTTGATATTTCTTTAATAATTTGTGTGTTTAGTTTTTGTGTTTTTACTACTTCAAACAAATCATGCGTTTAAAGTCTTTCCAAAACTAAATAGTTTTCTGTATTTGCAATGAGTTTAACAATGTGATTACTTTTGAGAAGTTCTAAAATTTGAACTTCTTTCATTCTTGACTAGATTGAGTAGAATGATTTATATTCTTTGATTACATAATTGGGATCTTCAGTAAGGAATACATTAGAAGAAGATCCTTCACTCAGAAGAGTGGTCTTATTGTGCATATGCTTTTAAGAATGATTGATTTATAATTATAAAAGAATAAAAAGGGTATATATTTTTAATTCAGTTATAAATTAATGGGTTAGACAGATAGTAAATAAGAGTAGGATTTTATAAGAAAAATAGATTCTTAATATGAATTCATAAAACATTTGAATGATGCAAGTGAATGATAATAATTATAAAATTAGGATATGGTGATGGTAAATTGTTTGGTAAGAAAAACGAGAAATCATAGATGATTGTATTAAAGAATATAAGTGTTCCAGATGAAGCTAGTTATTAAGCATGGAAGAATAAATTATAGATTAGATAATAGTTAAAACATCCTAACATTATAGAATTAAGAGGTACAAGATAATAAATAATATGATTAGAATCAATATAAGCAGAAGAAGAGTAAGTGTGTAGTACTTTTTATAAAGTTAACTTAGTATTCGAATACATACCTTAAACATTAAAGGATGCAATTGAATAAAGAAAGTAAGCTGATGCATATTTTGGAGAGTAAGAAATTTTGAAAATGTTAAATGGAGCAATTGAGGGATTAGCTAAATTTTAAGAGTTAAAGATTGCCCATCAAAATTTGAGAGTATAAACACTCTCTTATTAAAATGGAAATATTAAAGTTAGTGATATTCCATTATTAGCTAATATAACATCATTTGCTGCTGTCCTATAAGATTATGGCGATGCTTCTCAAGGCAATTATCTTTCTCCTTTATTAACTAAAGCAGTTTATGAAAATAATTATATGCCTTCACATAATTTATTTAAGTCTGATGTGTATACACTTGGAATGATATTTCTTTAAGTTTGTTTACTATAACCTTAAGATAATTGTTATGATTACTTTGAAGGAAAAATTAATATGTAATAATTGGTCACAAATATTGATTAAGCAAGAACTATTTATACATCGTCTGAACTTGTTGAAATTATTGAAGAAATGCTTGAATAAATAGAAAAAGATAGACCTGATTTTATTTAGTTAAGAAACAAAAGAAAATAAATTAATCCTAAATAATAAACTCAATTTGATGAGTAGAATTCTCGTCATTAAGAAAATGATTATTAAATGATGTCCTATCAAAAAATGAATAATTAATTAGAAGTCAATCAATCTATATAACCATCATATTAGGATGAAGGACCAAATCAATTACCTGAAGATAATTTTGATGAATTACATTAACCCTTAAAAGAACCTCATCCTGCTAGTTAAAATGATCATGATATATTAATACATAATGCAGATATTACTAGGAATTCTATCTGTAATATTTATTCTTATATTATTAGCTCCTATGAAATAGAACAATTCAATTGGATAAGTCCCTAAAGCAGATTTACTAGTTTAACCAATCTCTTTTGCTTAAAATAATCATATTTTGAATCAGGACATTTACAAAGTCCCTGATCCACCAAAATATAATATTAAATATGACTCTTATACTAATACACATAAAGATTAAGCTAATTTAAAAAAATAAGATGCCTATACATAATCAAGTCAAATTTTTAACTATACCAATTAAAAATAAAATATTCCATTACAATAATATGTAACAGCATATTAACCACAAAGAGAATCTGTATAGGTCAACGATTATATGGATAAATTCCATTTTTCATCACCTAATGATATCAAACTATTTGAATAACATAATTAAATTGATTATAATTAACCAAATAGAGAGTCTTATCAATATTATTCTGCATAACCTTAAAGTAGATTTTTATAAAATGAATAATAACCATAATAATAAACAAATTATGCACCAATTTAAGCATATCTTCCTCGATAGAATACTTCTACATATGTTAATGAAACTTATCCTAATGGATAAAGATATGTTGGTGAAAAAATGAATGGTCTAAAGGAAGGAAGAGGAAGATTATATTATAAAGAGGGAGGTTATTATGATGGACACTGGAAAAATGATAGAATTAATGGATAAGGTATTTTAATTAATAATTATATTTTAAGGAGTCCTTTATTATGCAAGTGGAAGACCTGCTTATGATGGAGAATGGGTTGATGATAAGTTCTAAGGTTAAGGTATTTTATATAATGATACTCCTAAAATAGAAGATATAAATTATAGAAATCTAGAAGATATTGGATAGTAATATATTAATTAATATTTAAGTGCTTGGACTAAATATGTTGGACAATTTTATGATGATAATAAAAATGGATCAGGTACACTCTATTTTTTTAATGGAGATCGCTTTGAAGGACATTTTTAAGATGATTAAATTTAAGGATAAGGTAGATTTATTTCAATTGGAGGATAAGTTATATAAGGAATTTGGAACTTTAATCATTTTGTTTAATGAATTCTATTTTGATATTTAGTAATGTATAAATTATCACACTATTCATTTAAATATCTTTGTGCATTTATTCCATTCTCTTTTATTTGATGTGCATCTCTAAGATTATTATGGAGAAGTATTAGAGATGCTTTTATCTTAATTTTAATTTCTTTATGAATTGATTGTCAATTAATTATTCAATTAATTATATTAATTTTCTTAATTACTATTGAGTGTGCTTCTCTAAGAATTTAATGGAGAAGAACTCACTTTTTTAGGAATCTCTTGTTTTTTCTCATTAAATACTATTGCTTCTCTTAAATTTTTATTTGTTTAAACTAATTATTTAATCTATTAACTTTAAGTAGAAACAATTTCATTTAATTCTTATTCTGTCTACAACAGTTTCTCTTATAATGATTCAAATTGTTTATTAGCCACCAAAATTAAATGTTTTAATTGCTAATTTTTTTATTATAAATCTAATGAATTTAATCGTTCTTAATTAAGTTCACTCATACTTTATTTCAATTACTATTGCATCTTCTATAAAATCTATTATTGCTCTGCTGTTTAATTATGCAACAAAGTTATTTCCTAATCAGCATCAATTAAAGTTTGCTTTAAACTATTTAAGAGATTCATAGATTTTTCCATGCCTTAATAACTCTATATATGCATAATCTAATTATGGCTATTTTATGTATACATATATCATTTGCATTTTCTCCAAATAAGAGATGATATAATTTTATTCTTTTTAATCTCTTATTAAATTGGTGATTATTTTAATTACTTCACTGTAACATTTCTAAAACCCTTCAAACATTATTTCCTTTTTATCCATAGGTTACTTCTATTAAAAACTATAATATTCTTCTTGTTCTGTACTCATCACAACTGAGAGCTCATTTTTCAAATTAGATGGTTTTACTTTCTATAATAAACCTATAAATTGATCTAATTCAAGTTTCAAGTTTGAATCCTTAACAATCTCTTATGATACCAATTTTTCCAATGATTCAATTGATTGTTCTGATTGTAAAGTTGCTATTGATTAAAAAGATTGCTGTTGAGTTGATTTACTTATTGATTGATAATATTGTCTATCATCTTCTATACACTGTAGTTATTCTAGAGACATTGTTAAATCTATAATTTAATATCTGTTAAATAATATTAATTAATTATTAAGTTGATACATATACTAATATTTAATTCAATCATAAACTCTTCTAAAACCTACATGAGTTTCCACCATATTTGTATCCAATTCAACCTTAGTAGTATTTCCATTTAGAAAATCTTTATCGCAATATAAACTTGAGATTTGCATATTGAGACTTCCATAAACTGTTTGTGTATCAATTTTTTATTTATTTAACTCACTATTTTGTTTATTTATCTAAATTATAATTCATTTTACATCTTAAAGTAATGCTTTTGTTATTTAATCTTCCTCTCTATATTGATTAGATTTCATCTTATGTAATTCCTCTCTTATTACATTCATATCATCTCTGCTAACCTTTAAATCATCCTTTATTCTATTTAAAATATTCTATTTTTATATAATTATTCATTACAAATAATTTATCAATGTGATCTTTTACATTCATTTACATAGAATTCTCAAAACTTTGTTAAATTATTTCATATTGATCTTATTGTTTTTCTGTTTCTTAATTAGCATTCTTTGAATTAAGAGACATTAGAGATTATTGATTTTATGATCCCATCTGTAACCTCTTCCCATGTTTATGCATATTAATATAATTTTATAAATAAAATACTTATTTATATAATAATTTATAATATATATTCAGTATTTATAAATTATTTCTTTTAAATACTCGTTAATTAATAAATTGTTGACATTCATATATAATGTTTTATATTTTGAAACCTCTATATTATATTTTTTATATTGAGTAGTAATTTATATCAAAATTATTTTCTAATTTGATCATGTGGTCTCTAACAAGATGTTGAAAACTTGCTTTTTCTTGTTTCTTTTCTTGATATTAATTAAATAGGTTCTTCAGATTCACTTCCATCATCATTCTTAACTTGTACTAGTTCAGAAAATTATACTTTTTTGCCTATTAATTTTTCTGATTAAGTTTTTTAGTGAATTACTTGAAGTGATGTGGAACTGTTTCGATCCGTTTGTTTTCCTAAAATGAGATCAATACTATCAAATCCAACTTCTGTTGTTTCTGTTTTTATTTATTTAGATGAATTATTAAGATATTTATCAGGTAAACTGAATGGGTCAGAAAAGAAATCCCATTTTTTTAAGGATTCTTATCCAACTTTAGAGAGATTTTATTTATGTTCCTAAAAATCAGTTTAAAAGTTGGATAGTTAAGGTTAACTTAGGTTATATTTGTGATTTGATCTAACATAATATGGTTTTTAAGGAGTTTTGAATTCAGCAAAAGAGAAATCATAATTCATTTTTAATTATTTTTTAATAAAATCATATCACTTATTGAAATTTAATTTTATGACTCGCACTCATAGCATTCTGAGCAATACTAGTTAATTGTATTGAACAATCTTTAATATTCATTTGATTCAAATATTATAAAACTTAATTAATATTAGGTCTTTCTTTTGGATTCATTCTTAACATATTATCAGCTAAAGGCTGTAAATATTTAGGTAATGAAGATAAGACTTTTGGTAATTTAGGTTATTTATCATTAACAAATTCTAAATACATAGGTAATAATGATACTCCCTTCCAATTAGATTCCTAATAAATATAAAATGCAATTTTACATTCAAACTACCTAAAAGTTCAGCAATTTAAGACATAATTTCAATTTCTGATCTTCCATCAAATAAAATTTTTCCTGTGAATAATTCTACTAAAGTACAACCAAGTGACCAGATATCAATTGATGCATCATATTCTTTTAATCCAAAGAATAATTCAGGAGCTCTATAATTCTTAGTGCATGTTTAAGGTGTCATTAAATCTCTTATCTAAGTTGAAATTCCAAAATCTCCTAATTTAACTTATCCTTCTATTGTAACAAAAACATTGCTAGGTTTGATATCTCTGTGAAGTATATTTTATTAGTGTAGATAATTCAAAGCTTAACAAAGCTCTCTAAAGATATAGAGTTAACAATCCTGTATGGAGAATAATAATTCATGAAGTGGTGCCATATATTCCATTGTTAAACATAAGTATTTTTTGTATTCAAATTTTTCAGTAAAGGCATCTATAAAATTAACAACATTTGGATGATTTAACGTACTCAAAAACTTGTATTCATTTAATTAAGTATGATCTTAAGGGTCAGATGGCTATTAGAAAATTCAAATTATTACATACTTTTCTATAGTACCTTTTTATTACTAAAGGGGTGTGTTTCTTATTAGGAGGATCATTTTCTGATCTTCTTTCAATCAAGTAAACTTTTCCTGCATATCCTTTGAAAAGGCATTTTATTTTTATATAGTTTTGATTCTGCTACATTTATTTTGATTTTAAATTTAATTATTTCCACTTTTAGTTTTCAATCTTTGGTCAAAATGTATAAAAAGTTCAATACTCTATAATCATTACTAATAAGTTGGGTCACTTTAATGATGGAATAAATTGATTAAGTAATATAAATTTCAATAAAATTTATTGTGTATTAACTGAAATAACTGCTAATTATTTTATTATATTTAGTAATTAATTTTAATATATGAATATTTATTGATCAAAAGTAAATTGAGTTTAATATGTTTGTTTAATAAATTATATATAAAAAGTATAATTTTGAATTCTTATAATTTGTAATCTAATATTGTAAATGCTTGGATTAAAAGAAAAAAAATTTAAAAATTTAGATATTATTTTTTAATGGTAAATCTCCGCCTCTAAAAAAGATTAGCTGCTACCTAATTAAAGGTTGGTGTTAATAGAGTTTGGTTAGACCCAAATGAAGCAAGTGAAATCAGTCTTGCAAATTCAAGAATGTCAATTAGAAAATTAATTAAAGATGGTTTAATAATGAGAAGATTGAGAACAATTCATTCAAGAGCAAGAGCAAGAAGATTCCTTGAAGCAAAGAGAAGAGGCAGACACACAGGTACTGGTAAAAGAAGAGGTACAAGAGAGGCAAGAATGCCAACTAAAGTTCTTTGGATTAGAAGATAAAGAGTTTTAAGAAGATTGCTCAGAAAATATAGAGCTGCAAAGAAAATTGATAGATAATAGTAAAAAATGTTTAATAACTTAGATATCATGAATTTTATTTAGCTTCAAAGGGTAATCAATATAAAAACAAAAAAGTTCTTATAGAAGCTATTCATGAAACTAAGTAAGAAAAAGTTAGAGTTGATAAAATTGAAAAAGAATAAAATGATAGAAGAGAAAAGAATAAGGCTTAAAGAACCAAGAAAACCTAAAATAAATTTGCTGCTGAATGATATTTACAAATTTAGTACAATAATAAATAATTTGTTATCTTAATAATATAATTAAGTTTATGATATATAATAGTAAGATCTAGGTTTTAAGGAGAGATGTATAATTGTAGTTGTAATTAAATAATAAGATGATTGATATTTTCTATATTAAAAAAAGATTTAAATTAATTTTTAGAGAATGGTAACTATAACAATTAAATAAAGGCTGACGCTAAAGAATAACCAGTCCAATAATCAAAAGGTAAAAAGGGAAAGAAAACTGGAGAAGAAACAACATAATAGGTAGTAGCTACATTAGGACCAAATGTGGCAGGAAATGAATTAGTATTTGGAGTAGCACATATATTGTCTACATGGAATGATACTTTTATACATATAACAGATTTGACAGGTAGAGAAACATTAGCAAGAGTGACTGGTGGAATGAAAGTAAAATCAGATAGAGAAGAATCATCACCATATGCAGCAATGCAAGCAGCTAAAGATGTTTATGAAAAGTTGAAAACACTTAAAATTAATGCTTTACATATTAAATTAAGAGCTAGAGGAGGTATATAATGATGTTTAATATTATATAGGTGTTGATACAAGACAACCAGGACCAGGTGCTTAAGCAGCTTTAAGAGCATTGGCTCGTCTAGGACTTAAAATTGGTAGAATTGAAGATGTTACTCCTATTCCTACTGATTCTACTAGAAGACCTGGAGGTAGAAGAGGAAGAAGATTATGATAAAGTAAAATAAACACATATACAGTATATATGTACATATTAATTTAATTATGATATTTGAACTCTAAACTCCATCTCCATCCTTATCTCCTAATTCGAAATCCAAATTTTATTAGGATCAACTTGATAAAGCTCATTTAGTTATTGATTAATTAGAATATTTACTTTAAGAAAAAGAGCATCAGAAAAATATTCATCAAACGACTTACAATAATATTGTCATTCCTCCACTTTAATTGAAATAAATAAATAATGAAAGATCTAAAAGTTATGCAAATACTCCAATATTCTATTCTACACCTAGAGATAGAAGAACAAGATTCTCATTAGGAGATGGTTAAGATTCTGCAAGATTTATTGAGGAAATTAAAAATAGACATTCAGAACTTATTTTATAATCTCAAGAAGACAATAATTTTAGAGAACAAAAAAATAAATAACTTAATCATCAAATTCAAGAATTAAAATCAGAACTGATCTATTGTCAACAAAAACATTCTATTACTAAAAAAGAAAAATAATCTGCTCAATAAGCACTTGATATTTTAGATACTTAAATCTAAGCTATTAAATTGCAATTAACAATCTCTAAAGAAAAAGGTAATCATTTATAAAATAAAATCGAAATAATTAATCATAATAATAATGATATTTCTGAACAAACTATAAAACATTAATCTGAAAATCATGAATCAATCTAAAATCAGAATTCCTTAATCTTACCATAAAATTATAATAATCATAAAAAATTATTAGGGTCTTTATAAAAAGAAATTTAATTATTAGAAAATAAAAAACAAAAATATTATAATTAGACAACTACTTCTTAATTTGAAGAAAAATAAATAGAAGTTAAAGAAGATCACTTTTATGATAGAATTAATTTTGTTGTAAATAATATTTGTAATCTTAGATTGATACTTCTTAAAATCAAAATATTCTTATTACTTAACATTCTGAGGTTTAACTTAATGAAGAAGATATCAGTTCTATTAAATCTTTTCGAGCTAGAGGACATCGAAAAAATAGAAGTTGTGAATCCTGCTAAATCTTCTGATTTTATAATATAGTTTTAATTAATTAATGATTAGCGACAATGAAAAATAATAGATACGATAACTATTTGCAAATGATTAGAAATATACTTCTAATGAAAAAAAGATCTAAAATGATTTCATTGTTTAAATGCAAATTGCTAAATATGATTTCAAAAATAAAGACGATCCATTATTAATTCAGGCAGGTCTAATTTTGATTTTTATCTTTAGGTCTCACCGATTAAAAATAATCAGTCTTTATCATATAAGGCAAATTTTAGAATGAAAATAATGTAAGATCAATTGCTTACTATATGATCTCTTAATTGCAGAATCAAAAAAATTAGTAAATATTCTATAATATTTATGAGAGAATATTTCATCATTTATATAAATACAGAGTTGCTAACTTATTTGAATCTATCTAAATTTTACTCAATTTTTAAAGAATTTCCTTGTGTTTATTTTGAAAACCTACAAAAAATTTTTATAATGCATGGAAATATTTTTATTAAATCATGGTTTTGGTTTCAAAATAGTGTTTAAATAAAAGTTTTGAAATCAAAAACTATTTATCTTGAAAAGTATATATATAATAAAATAAAATACTAGAGTTGCGTAATTACTAAATTATTAGTTTTTTAAAAAATAATAATTTGAAAAAATGCCTGCATATTGTAAGGATTCATCTTATCCTTAATTTTAATAAGCTTTTATAGGAAATTAATTACAAGTTATCCAATAATCCACAAATTAAATTTATAATCTTGAATTGGATCAATATGAATTTACAAATAAGGGAATTCCATTAATTCTTGATCTATGCATTACAAGATTATTATAAGATCCTTAAAATATTCAAATAGAAGGGATATTTAGGTTATGTTCTGCATCAACTCAAGATAAATAGTTTGAAAATTATTTAATTTAAAAATAGTATTCAGAAATACTAGATTTCGAGAATATCATAGTTATAGCAAATTTTATTAAGAGAGTATTAGATAAATTAAAGTATTCAGTCATTCCATATTAATATTATGATTAAATATTTAATACGAAACAATATTCTATTGAATAAACATAGGCATTGATATAGTAATTCCCGATTTTGAATAGAAATTTATTCACATTAATCATATTAGTGCTTTAATCTGTAGCTTCATATTCTCACATTAATAAAATGACTTCAAGCAATTTGTCTATTGTTTTTGGAATAAGCTTATGTAGACCATAAGAATATGAATAAGCTAATGTTTAAGAGTAATATTAAAAGTATTATTCATTAAAGTATATTTTAGAATAAAAATGGTAAATTAATTTATTTAATTCATAATTGATAATGCTACCGAAATTTTTCCAAATTAAAAAATTAGTGATTTTTTGCTTGACACAGAAGAATAATAAATAGATTAATAATAATGAGATAAAAAATAATAATGATGATATAATAATTTTATAATTTTTACAAATTCATATAAGGTATATTTTTATATAAAAATATATGAATTATAAATTATAAGTGATTAAAACAATTAATTTAAATAAAATAAAAAAATTTACATAAAGTTTATATGTAAGCAAAATAAGGGATATTTTTGTTGATTCTAAACAGAGTTCAATGTCAAAATATAATAACTTCGATTAAAAATTATACAAATGGAATAATTTAGTCTTAAATAACATAATAAAGTCTTATGGATTTGGCACCTTTAATTTTACCTTTGGGAATAATCTTTATATTGTTGTTTTGGTTGATAAAATTTTGTTTTAGAAGATAAATATAGTATGATTAATTACCTTAAAATGAATAATAGGTTAATAAAAACCAATTAAAGAAAATAAAATTACCAATTAAGCATAAAATATAACTGGTTTTAATAAGATACTATTGTTAATTAACTAGATTATTGACTTGATTAAAAGATTAATTATTAATTATATCTGATTATAAATTCAAAATTAAAATAATCCTCCAACTTATTAGTTATATGCATAATCTTCTAAATCTTCAAATTCTTCACTTTGAGCATCTTAGTTGAATGAATCATTTTCAAAAGATACTTATTCTTCAAATTTATATTTTTAGTATTATTATTACTAAAATTTAATATAAGTTTTACTTTTTATTAATTATGCTTCAATAAATTTGAAACAGAAGTAGAACTATTGATTTCAAAGGTTAAAGCACTACACCATGAATCTAAATTATCTTGAACTAATTGATCATAACTCCTTAAAAGATTGAATAATAAATATACTTTAAATTCATCCATATTTACTGATTTAAAGAGTATTTTTCAATAGATTGATTATTGCCACCACAAGCATATAAATTATTATCAAATATAACTAATTTATTCCTTAGATCTCTTCCTTCATTCATTCTGCTAAGAGTTTTAACAATTTATTCATTAACATCATAAACTTATAAATCATATGAAAATCCTTGATTGGAGCTAAGAAAAAATAAAATAATAATAATTTTACCCTCCTCCTAAAATAAGTATTTTATTATCATCATAAGAAATAGCAGCAGCATTACTGAATCCTTGTTTAAATTTCACATCTAAAACTTTCCATTAATTTTCTTTAACAGAATATCTTTCAATGGTATTTAATCTTTCTCTTCCATCAAAACCTCCAAACACATAAATATATTTATTAATAGCAGCTGCAGCAGCAAAGGCACATTTTTATTTTTATAAAGGATCAATTATTTTCCATTCATCTGAAACTAAACTATATTTTTCACAGCATGATAACATTTGTTTAGCAGATCCATCATATCTATATAATTTTATTATATATATACCCTCCTATAGCATAGACAAATCCATCGAGATAAACACATGCATGTTCTTTTCTTGGAAAATACATACTTTTTAAAGCTTATGATTAAAATCCTTTTGAGGGTGATACTAACATTGCATTTTTACTTACTCCTCCTCCTGTTATTATAATATCACCACTTGGTAAACTTACAGCTGCTGCATAATAATTATATTCTAATGTATTCTATTATTTTATATTTAATTTACATTTGGCATTTATTTATATATCCATTCATTATTTTCTATATTATATATTAATATTTTATGTTTATCCCCAAAAAAACATATTAAAGGATTAGATACATCCTTTTTAAATTAACCAAATTTTTAAATTTCATTTATTAATTTCTAATCAAATACCAATTTAGGTAACTTCTTTATCTCACTAATTTTTAATTACTTTTATTAAGCAACATCTCTATCCACTTATTCTTCTAAATCATCTATTTCCTTTATTACATCATTATTTTTTAATGCTTTCACTCCCTCTATTTAATCTTTTTATATAATATTTACTTAATTCTGCTTATTTCTAATCTAATTTTGTTGTTAAACTTGCCATATTTGTCAATAAAGATTAATTAAATGCTAATTCTTAATCTATCTATTCACATTCTGTATTAAATATTTTTTATTATTAATCTCTCAATTCTTACCTTCTTTATTCAATCTTTTTAATCAATCTCTCAAATTGCTCATCTAATTATTACATCTAAAAATTATGAATCTCAATACCAATTTAACATTTTCTAATTATAATTGTTCTTTACAATTACCAAATCCTTTTACCTACTTTTCTAAAATCTCAAATTGAGTTTTTAATTTTTATTAGATCTTTCCTAATCGATTTTATTATAAAGACACTAATCAATATATTGCTTTAATACCAGAATGTTCATATTTAAAAAACTTATGACCATAATGCTCTGCTATACATTCAGTACACATATTTGATTAATCATCTTCACAAAAAAATTATAATGGAAGCTTTGTATGAATTGTACATAATTCGAATTTTTTTCTAAGAATTATCTTATTAATTTACTATACTTCCAAATGCTTGGAAGCTAAATCCATTGCAACATAATTTTTGCTTAACAAATTTGGTTTTACATGAGGTTCATGCTTTGTTCTACAAAGAGGACATTCAATTCTCTTATTTACATTGTATATTGATTCAAGACATATAGAACAGTAAGTATGACCACAAAGTAGATTTCTTGCCACTCTAATTGGTGCATACAATTCCCAACACATTGGACATTCCATTTATTTATTTAAATTATTTATATTCCTCTTATTGTTTAATTTCTTATAATTTTTTCTTATCTTAGCACATAGTTTTAATTGTATTATTCATAATAACAAATTTTTATTATTTCATAATCATTCATATACCATCATCGGTTACATCTTTTATGATAATCTTATATTGTTAATTTATTAAATTTATATTTAATCATTATAGATTAACCCATAAAATTAAAACTATTATAAAATTTTTAAATCTTAGTTGAATTTTATTTTGTCATACATTATTAATTGCAAAATATAAAAATATACTCTATTAATCACTCTAAAAAATTTATAGAATGTATATCCAACCCATAGTTATATTGTAAATAAATTCAAATTATTTAATAATACTTTATTTGATTAAATTTTATTATTAAGAAATTAGATTTATTAATTTAGTTTGTAAAATCATAAGAATTTAATGCAAATTTTATTCATATCTTTTATTCGTAATCATTATATTTCTTTATATGGATCATTCACCAGGATTAGAGCTTTAATATTAAGTAAATAAATTTATTAATAAGTTTATTTTTTTAAATATTTGGAGTCAAATTTATGTTGCCCTTAAATTGAAATTAAAAACTCCAGTGACTAAATTTTTAAATTAAAAAAAAATTTTTTTATAAAAACAGATACCTCAGAAGAGAACAATAAGAACAATAATTTAACAATTTTTGATTAATTAGGTTGACTTTCTATACCTGAGTTAGTATGATTTTTTATTGTAAATATTTTTGATATAAATACTTTAAAAGGTTATTTAGAATTTAATTATTATATCAAAAGGTGTTATTTTTGATATTATTTGATTATTCAGTATAATTAGTTTAGTAAAATAATAATTGGATTATTGCAATATTAAAAAATCTAATTTTATTATCAAAAATAGATAGTTGCATTGAAATAAGAGATTCTGATTTTTTAAGAGAATAAACTATTTAAACAATTTCGAAATTTTGTAATAAGATTCTGAAATCTGTATATTGGATATCATATTCTTGAGTTTATGATAGGAAAGTATTTAATGAATCTCACACATAAAATAGTTTTTCAAAAGAAAAAGAACTTATAAGATCAAAAATCAAGACAGACATAATTTTTGGTATTTTATCTTATTAACATTTGAATAACATTTGTTTATCAAAATGAAATTTTTTTAAATAAATTATCTAAAAAGTTTCAAATAAAATTTATTAAAAAACTTTATATGAATATTTTTTCTAATGAATATACTTTCTAATTAATTTATTAAAAGAATTACTTCATTAATAAAGTTATTCATAAAAAGATTTTTTTAAAATTATCATTTATAAAATAAGAAAGTTAAGAATGAATTAGACTGGACTGATTAAAAAAAATATAATAACTTAAATTTGATTTATATTACTAATCAATAGTAAAAAATAATTTAACATGATAAAAAATAATAGAAAAATAAAAAATAAAAATTAGGGTTATAAAATTGAAAAATATCTTATAAGTTTAACAACATTGTTTTGTAAGTGATCGATCAATTAATTATTAAAATTTCATAAATTATATAAAAAAATGCTTAATATAATTAACACATTTTATGTAGATGGATTTGATTCATTTTATTTTTTTCTTCAACTTCATATTATATTGGTTATTCAGATAATGCATAAACACTTGGTTCTAATTAATCTTAATAATTAGAATTTTTCTTAAAATCAATTCTTTATGAAAAGAATTTCAAATTAAAACTTTTTTTCAATTCTTTCAATAGTCTCGACCATAATTAAGAATGATACAGAATGATTAATTTAGTGGATAAGATTCTAGAAGAAATAAAATACAATTGCTAGAAATCCTGTTGAAATGAACGATTAAGATTATTGAAAAAGAGTAAAGAATCTGATTAAAATAATAGGGTAATATTGATTTTTTAACTGAAGTGAAAATATTAAAAATAAACTTTATCCATTTGGCACAGTCAAGGATCTAAAAAAACATATAAATTAACTTACTCTTAAATAATGCAGAATATATAATAATTCTATAAACCATAGGCTTTAATTTAATAAAATGGAAAGTAATCAAACGATAATATCCATCATATGGTTCATATAGATATACAGTGAACAAATTTTGAAAGCATAATTTCTAAATTTAAAAGGGTATTGTTTATTATGGAGAGTTATTAAATAAATCAAAGGTAAAATTAATTAGTAGATCAATAAAATCAAATAACCATGAAATTCCAATTACAAGTTTAGTTCTAAATAATAATTATTGAGACCAGATTTTAAGAAATAATTCCAAATTGGTTTTTGGTAATTAATTATTGCCTTATAATGAAGAATTTATATTCATATTCTTATAAAATAATATTGAAGAAAAAGGATGAATAAAGTTTTTTTATTTTTATTTAGTAAAAAATGTATAATAAATTACAGTTGTATTAAGGTATTAAAAAACGTATTAATCATATTAAAAATGGTCATGAGTTAAAGGGATTACTAAAATGGTTTTAGTGAGAGAGAGTTCTAAGATTAATAATTTTTAGTGGAGAAGAATATTATTTGATAATATGATTGATAGTTAATGAAAGATAATAGGAATAGTTTGAGTTTGATATTTTAATTATGTGAGTTGTTATAGTGTTAAGTTTTATAAAGTATATTAAAAATTTATTTATGCTATCTAGATTGTGTGCATAGAAATTTACAACATAAATTCAAGGAGTTCCGATAAAATGTATTCGTTAGATAAAAGTATAATAGTATTGGAAGCAATGAAATTTGACATTCCAAAAGTATAAGAGGAACGCCATAAAAATATAAGAGCTCTTACATGTTATCTATAGGATCGATTACATGATAATTAATTAATGGAGTTCGTTAGAGATGTGTAATAGATAAAAGAGAAGGTAATTATATATAATGATAATTGTATAGGAATATACAAACACTTTGCAATTGAAATCTAATATTTTTAGATTGTTTAACTAATGTAAGATTTTATAGTAATTGCAGACTAAGTTTTAGATCTTGTACCATTGGCATTAAGAATAGATCTATAAGAGTTGTAGCCAGAGCATTTCTATGATGATTTTGATAGAATAGATACAGAGATAAGAAGCGAATATACATGTTTTGTTTAGAATCGAGCAAGTCTTTTTTAGCCATAGAATAAAAGTCTAACTGATTTTATTCAATATAAACGTAAACATTAAAAATTGAGAATTGAAAAAGATGAAAAAGTACCAGCATTTACTTAGATTATTGATGATGGTTTGATAAATACTCTATTGCCAAAATAAGAGATTGATACTTAGGAGTCAAATAGTAAAGATTTATTTAAGAATTAATTAATAATATCTAGAAATAATAGATTGATGAATAAGCATATTAAATAAAAAGATGAGAGTGAACTTAGAACACCTTTGTAATTGAAATAGATTGATAGTGTTGAGGAAATTAAATAAACTAATTAAGTTTGTTTATATAATTTACCATATATTATGGATGATAATTTTAAACAAGATTGTAAAGTCTATTTTGAAAATAGATTTGGAGAAATAGAGTCGATTTAGTATTTTGAATATTCTAATTTCAAAAAGTAGGTTGATCAAATAGCAACTGAAAAAACTAATGAGAATAAAGATTTCTATTAGAGTTTAGAATAGTTGAGTTCAACAAAAAAGTTATTAGAAAGAGTTAAAGTAAATAAGAATAAAAAGTTATATAAATCATATGCTGTTATTAATTTTAAGAATAAGGAATCTAAATAAAATGCTTTATTTTAAGATCTAAGAATATTTGGTATTAAATTTAAAGATTTGTAATTGAGAATAGATGATGCTGATCATAAGAAATTACTTTATATTAATAATTTATCTAAATTTTCAAATGTTAATTTTTTGATAGAATTCTTAAATTTGCATTTAAATATCCAATTTGAACCTCTTGATGAAAGATTACTTTTGTAGAATAATATAGTATGTTTAATCTTTAAAGATTTTTAAGAGAGTTAGAAAGCTTTTGAGAAATTAAATAATTTAACATTTTCAGTAAAGTTATTGAATATTTATAGAGATTTAAAATGAATGTATTTCATTATCCAGATGGATTGAAATATATGGGAAATAGAATAGCAGAACATTTCAATAGTAATGTAGCATTATAAGTATTGGAATAGAATTTGTAGAAATTAAGATTTGAAATGGAAGAGAATTGGAAGGATGTTGAATAATAAGTAGAAGTAAGAGATATAGTTAGAAAGGAAGCTTAATAACCTATTAAATAAGAGATTCATTCATCTGATATGCAATAATGTATAATTGAAATGATTGAAGACTCTTATTAAGAGGAGGAATTTTAATTGGAGCTCTTTGGTTTAGTATGGGATGAAGAAGCTCAATACTGATTATAAATATTAACAAGAATTTTTTGTATATAAATGAATAAATTAATATAATATGATATCGTATTATAAAAATGGGAGATTTTGAATTCCCTGCAACTTTGGGTGATTTTAAGGGAGAAGATTAAACAAAGAATAAGACAGCAGCATAAATCTACAAATACTTAACAACAGTGAGTACTAATCTAATAGATGAACCAGAGAAATTAAATGAATGTACAACATGGCTAGATTTTGTATATTTTTCAATAAAGAATGGAAATAGTAGTTAATAGATAAATAATGTCATATCTGATATATTAAAGAATTAATTAGATAAAGCATATTTAGGAACTCTGAAATTGGGATCTGAAAGAATAACAGTGTTTTTAGCAAGTTGTTATTTATGTTGGCATAATTAGATAGAATAATAAGAACATATAAAAGTATTGAAGAGTTTTGTAAAATATATAAAGACAAGTAAATTAATACAGGAATGTTTTTCTATGATAATGTCTGTGGCAACATCAAATTGTAGTAGTGTGATAGCACATTAAATAGTAGCATTTCTATTGAGTTAGAATAATGAGCATTATTTTAATAATTTAGTAGTAGCTTTTTCAGCTCAGAATATAAATTGTGTACCTTTATTGAGAAGACTCAATAGATAGAAATTAGAAAATGAAGATGAAGATACTCAAATGAGATTTTAAGAATTATTACCAACATCCAATTCAACATTTATTGAATGTGTTATTTTAGAATATTTAACAACTATTAAACCATTATATGCAAAAACAAGTAGAGAAGTATTACTTTAGATGGTAAAATATTTACCAGACTTTTTTACATAAAACAACATTTTGCACACATTGTTAAAATTATATGATAAAGAATAATGGATGATAAGAAATACAGTAACAATGACATTAGGTGAGTTATTATGTTAATCAGTATTTATGGAAGAAGTGGAAGAGAAACTATTATAATTATTATTATTAAGAACACATGATTCACATGTACATGGAAGATCATGTGTATTATATTAATTAAAGGAATTAGTAAGTTCTAGATCAGTTAAATTAAATGCTGAAATTCTCTTTAAAGCTGTTGAAAGATTAAAAGATAAAAGTAGTTCTGCTAGAAGAGCTGCCATTTCTTTATTAGATTCAATTATTAAAGCTTATTCTAAATAGTATGGAATTATGACATTTAAATCATCCTAATTAGAAAAAAATAGAAAATTATTAGAATTAGAGAAATAGAAACTTATTGAAGATTGTTAAAATCTATAAGAATAATTGAATAAGAATCAAATTGATATCAAATATTATTTAGATAATTTAGAATCTTAATTAAATTCTTGTAGAGATAGAGAATAAAAGTTAAAATCTTAATAAGTATTTTAGAATCAAATATAAATAGCAATGCCTGATCTTATTAAAATTGCACTTAGCAATATACATACAGAAAGTAAATGTGTTTTATAAGTGTTTACTACTTTAATGATTAATCATTAAGAAGGTATGATTGAATATGTTAAACAAATCTTAGTTTTAGTTTATCAAACAGAATTATAAGAAGATTTAAATAAACTTATATTTAATTCATTTGTAAGAAGTTATTCAAAGTTAATTAAACTTATAGAAATTTGTGACATGTTAGAGATAACTTGTTTAGAATAACTATTCAAATCATTCAAATCAAAAAATCTTCAATTAAAAACTGCTGATGTTTGGGATAAAGCATGGGATTATTTAAAATAATCTAAATATATCCTTCCTAATCTAAGATTAATCAGATTTATAGGAATTATGGATGATACTCAATTATATGATAAATTATGTTATTTACTCAGACATTTAAGAGATACAAAATAATTTAGTGAAATTACCGAAATCATATTAATAATTTAAGAAATACCTATGGAAGATGTTCATTAAATTTATATTAAGGAAATAATTAAATCATTATAAAATTATGATGGTAGTGATTTAGAATGGTTTAGAGCATGTGATACATTTATTAGATTTACAGTTGAAAAGATTTAAAAACCAGAAATTACCTTATTGGAATTTCTAAATTCTATTCCTATAGCTAATATTCCTCAATTAATGTTCGCTAGTAGTACTATTGGTTTAAAATTGTATGTCTATAGTGAAAAAATGATTAAATAATACAGAAAAGAAAAGACTCAACCATTAGATGAATTGGATCAAATGGATAATAGTATACAAGAACATATGGATGGAAAAATTAAAGAATTGTAGGATTTGTTTGAAAAGATGGGAGACTTAAGTGAATATAGTTCTAGTGCTGAAGCTATTTGTAAAAATATGATCACTGATTCATATAAAGAAAGAAATCTTATGATTGATCAAATTAGTGTTATGTCTCTATTGTAATTTATGATCATATCTAAATCTTGCACACTTAGAAATATCAATACTATTATGGAAATATTAGATTGTTAATAAGTTTAATCTATTATTAAATGCAATATAATAACGATGCTTAGTGATATATATTATAGATACTCGGATCTCATTGATATTAATAAAGTATTATAAAAAATGGATGACAAGGTATTAAAAGTTAGAAGAACTGCTATTATTATTGTATCACATTTAATGCTTATGGAATTACTTAGAATTGATGCTGCTTAAATTGCTAAGCATATTAATGATTAAGATTAAACTATTAAAAAACATGCTAAAATCTTTTTTGTTGAATTATACAAAAAGGATAGTTAGAAATTTTATTAAGTATTACCTGATTTAATTACATCTATGGCACATAATTATTAAGTTTCAGAAGAAGATTTCAAAGTCTTTGCTAAAGAAATCATTCCTTTAATTTAAAAAGATAAACTTCAGGAATAAATCCTTGAAAAATTCTTAAATAGATTTGATATCTTTGATAGAGAAGCTTCTCTTAAAAATAGAAGTATTATGCAAAGAGTTTAAGAGGCAAAAGAAGATATTATACCTTTTAATCCTGTATAATTAACTGCTGAAAGAGAATGTGTCTATTTATCTTATTGTTTACTCTACCTTAAATTTCATCTTGAAAATCTCAGATTATTGGTTACCAACTTTCCTTAATATAAAAAAATACTCAAAAATCCTATCATTTTAGAATAATTTAAATAAATTTATTAAAAGTGTAGAAAAGCTGCATCATCTTGTAAAATGAATGCTAGAAAAACTGAAGCAATTCAATAATCACATGAATTCTCTTAACTATTGACCATTTTTAAAACTAACTTAGATTCTGTAGATCCACAATTAGAAAAAATTCATATTCAATCACAAAATCATCAATAACCCAATTAATAATAAACTAATAAACCAAAAAAGATTCAAACCCAATATAGACCACCTAAAAAGAACACTAAATAATAAATAAGGATTCCTGATTCTGATGATAGTAGTAGTATGGAATTAGAATATTGATTTAATTATTATACTTTCTGTACTATTCTTTCAGATTATTAAGATTCTTGTATATTTTTAAAAGATTATTAATTTAAATTTTAATTTCTTTCAATTTCCATTTTGTTTTTTCAAATTATTTATTAGAATTATATGGATATTAAATATGTATTAAGTAAGACTTTTATTATAGTATAGTAAAAGTAATAAAAAATGAGAGATAATTAAAATTTTAATAAGTTTTAATATAGATATTAAATAATTAAATTCATAAAATCATCATACTAAATGTAACCAAATAATCTAATAACAAAGTTGAATAATTTTATTGGAGTGTTTAAAGATCAACAAATAAGATCTCTTATTCATCACTCTGACATTTGAACCATAATTCATTTTAAATTAGATGATGGGAAAGTATAAATTCAAATGGAACTTTATAATTAAAAACTCTATGTTAAAATTACTGATTGCGATAAACATTTTACGATTTTAAAAATGGTTCAGTTTAAGAATAATCAGATATTAATTTAATAGGTTGGGTAGGTTCATATCTATCATTTATTTCTGTAAATTTAAGCATGTTAAGTTCTTTTTCTTTTTGTCTCTATTCAAAAATAATTTCATTTAAAAAATCCTTTTCTACTTTATATTTACTTTTATAAGTATTAATTTTAATTGGATTAAATTATTGTTATCTAATATGCATCATCCTATTGAAATCAAGAGTTTAAGAAACTTTTTGAACTTTAAACTTATTTAAATCCTTAGATTCACTTTATTTAATTGGTTTAAAACTCACACTTATTATTTGAACATCAGGATCATCATCATAAATTTAGAATGTTTCTTTTTTTTAAATAACTTCATCAGTATCCAATTCTATATTAATAATTTCAGCTTCTTTAATGAGTACTTGAGTGAATCTATTTCTAATATGTACCCTAATAGGTTCATCTGGTTTTTTAAGTTATTTTACTTTTTCCACTTTTTTAGCTATTAATTTATAATAATTTTTATATGCTAAATATCTTTCAAATCGACTTGAATTATATAAAACAATATTTACCCAATTAAAAGTAATGAGGCAGCACTAAAACTAGAAATTGGTTCCCATGTATGATGCTTTTTATCATAACCAAGCCATTTAACTGCATAATCTACTTAATTTCCTCTATCTAGTCTCTTTCCAAAGACATATTCTACTTCATAATGTTCTTCATTATTGTCCATATTTAATAATTAAGTAAATATTTAGAATGGTGTTGATTATCAAATTTTAGCATACATATTAAATATCATTAAAAAAAAGTATCATTATTTTTTAATCAATTATAAAATTGACGTTAAACCTTTTTATTTTTTTTTATGATTTTTATTACATTATTATTAATTATAATTCTCTTTTTTTAGATAAATTTCTTTATCTAAATCTTATAGTAAGTGAGTTAATCATACGGATTTAATTAATTTTTTAGTTTTCTATATCTATAATATGATGATAGATTTGTATTTTTTTAAAATAACCTCTTTTCTTAATAATATCTTTTTATTTCCAAATAAATACTAACTTTCAGAAATTGACTAAGCCTAAACAGTCTTCAATCTATTTCTTAATGAAGGTTCTTAGAATGATAAGGTAGATGGTAATTTAATTAAAATTTTATTAAAGCATTTGGAAGTTCTTTTATTATATAGATAAGAAAATGAGAATATTATAATTATCATGAATGCTCTTATTATATTTGCATATAATTTTAATGCATCTAAATTGAACATTATTCTAATTTGATGCTAGCAGTAGATTACTATTAGATTATTTCATTATCTTATAAAAATTGATTTATTTTAAGAGATATTTAATAGTTTATATTCTGTTTATAGAATGTTAGCATTAATGTCTATGTTCATATAAACATATAGTAAACTAATAATATTTTAAACAAAACAAAAATATATTTTAATATTGTAATTCAACAGCATCCTTGTTTTTTATTACCAGTGCTAGTAGTTTCTAAATCTAGTTTTTCACCTTATAAATGAGACATTTGATCATATTTTTATAATTGTTTTGTTAGATTCTGGTAAATTTCTAAATTATATAGAATTTAAAACATTAAATGATTTATGTGAATGCTTAATCTACATTACTACCATCTTAAGCACTTGCTTCTATAAATGCTACCTTATACATTTGAGCCAAATCTTAACCTGATTCCATCCTAATGGCTCTTAAATGTTTTAAATCTGATTTGTTCCCAATAATCATTATTACAATATCTTTATCTGCATTTTCTCTCACTTCTTATAGCCATCGTTCCACTGCTTCAAAGCTTTGTTTGTTTGTTATATCATATACAAGTACAGCTCCAATGGCTCCTCTATAATAAGCAGAAGTAATAGCTCGGTAACGTTCCTAACAATGATTTATTGTATTTTACTTATCCTGCTGTATCCCAAATCTATGCTTTTATAATCTTACCAGAAATTGATATTGATCTAGTGGCAAATTCAACACCTATTGTAGTTTTAGAGTCTGGATTAAATTAGTTTTTAGTAAATCTAAGCAATAGATTAGACTTTCCAACTCCAGAATCACCTAAAATTGTCTATTTTATCATTCTATACCTGAAAGTACTATTTTAAATAAATAATCATAGTCTTCATCTGCTTTGCTCATTTAATTAATATGGGATAATAAATATCAAAGTTATGCTAATATTTTAGAAGTAAAGACTCTAAAGTTTATCAACAAAAAGACTCTGGATCAATCTCATAAAATAAATCAAAGATAATTGTATAAAACAATTCTGATGACTATGACTCAGAATATGAATAACATATACATCATATTCCAAAGTCTTAAAAAATTAAATGGAAAAAAGGATAATTGATTGGATAAGGCTCGTTTGGAAGAGTATATCAATGTATGGATATCAATTCTGGGAGAATTTTAGCTGTAAAACAAATTGAATTAGGTTATGTAGATAAAGAAAGTTTGCAATCGTTTCATTAAGAAATCTTAATACTTAGTTAACTTAAACACAAAAATATTGTTGAATATTATGGTTGTGAAGAAGACAATCAAAATTTGAATATTCTACTAGAATTCGTTGGAGGTATACTTATTTTATAATCTATTTTCTAGGTGGTTCCATTGCTCAAATGATGCGTAAATTCAAATCTAAACTTTCTGAATCAATTATATAGAAATATGTTACTGATATTCTTCAAGGTTTAGTTTATTTACACCATAAAGGAATCATACATAGAGATATTAAAGGTGCTAATATTATTGTGGATACAAAAGGTGTATGTAAACTGGCAGATTTTGGTTGTAGTATCATTGGAAAAAGTTCATATTCTTTAAAAGGTACTCCGAATTGGATGGCTCCAGAAGTAATTAATTAATAAGAGACTGGAAGATATTCTGATATTTGGAGTCTAGGTTGTACTATTATAGAAATGCTAACAAGTGAACCACCATGGGGATAATTCTAATCTCCTATGCAAGCTTTATTAACCATATCTTCTAAATAATGTTCTCCTTCAATTCCTCAAAATACTTCTGATCAACTTAAAGATTTTTTAAATAAATGTCTTTAATTTGATCATAAGAAACGTTGGCAAGCTCGAAAATTATTAAAACATCCTTTTATAATAAATTATAAGAAAAGACCTTCTAAAGGCGAATAATTTTTATAGCTAGATAGAACTTTCGAAGAAAAGAATGACTTTAATTTATATGTTGCTCCTCGCATCATTAATGTACCAAAAGAACTAGAATAATTAGATAAAGAATAGAATCCTATGTTTTAATCAATTTAATCTTCTGGACTTCATGATGAAAACCAAGATCTTAAATTTTGATTCTAAATTATTAAATTAATTACTTGTTATGTTAACTTATATTGCTCTCTACTTACAATCTTCTGTTTTTTAACACTAAACACTTTCTATCAAATATTATACAATATTACAATCCTAAATAATTAATCTAGATAGACCTTCCTAATGGTATATTAAATGTTATAATACTCTCAATTATTAAGACAGAAATCTTGTTAATGAATTCTCAGATAATGAAAATTAATTTATTGTTATTATTTTTTATTATTAAGGATGAGTATACTATTTTCATTTTAAAAGAATACTAGTCTAAATTATTTTTATCTACAAAATAAAGTAATAATGAACTCTAATAACAATGAGTTTTAGTTATTTATTTTTTAATAATAATTTATTTAACAAATAATTAAATGTCATTATTAAGTGCTTATAATCTGTAAAAATATTTATCAATAATAAGCCTTGAAGAATTTTCAAAACACAACGAAGTTGAGATATTATCCTACAAGGTCAATTTTTTAAAGAATGTAACTATTTTAGAGATTGATCCTGTTAAAAATAATTTTAGTTAAAACGCTGTTCTTGAAAATAAATTTCTATCCAAACATCTTTGCACTTGTAATTCCTTCATTTAGATAACAAAAAAATAATCTATTTAAACTGAAATAGGTATTATTAATTATTATGTAGCTACTATGGGTGTTCCTTATTCTCCAGAATTAAATGAAATTGATTTTAAAAATTAAGATCAGGTATTTAAAATAATTACAAAAAATTTCAAAGATTCTTTTACAATTTAAGATGTACAACACAAATCATATACAATATCAATTAGTTATTGTAACCAGTTAGATTCATTTTGTATTTCATATGGAACACAAACAATTATTTGTTATGATGAAAAAGATATTGATTTATTTTAGGAACCTATGCATGAAAGGCCACGTCAAGCAGCCTTTTAATTTTTTAACTTGTTTAATAAAATGTCAAAAAAAATGAAGAATAATTTTATTGAAGATTTAATTAATAGAAGTTTAATAGGTTGTTACAACTATAAAAAGTAGATTCAATGGTTTGCTATAGTTGAACATTATTCAGAGTAAAGAATGGTTGATCCAAATACTGTTAGAAATTTTTTAAATCATTATAGTTTAGAAGGCACTTAAACAAATTTAATTTAGAGCTCTTAAATTTAATTACAAAAACATTTTTCATAGATTTATAATTAATTGATTGAATAATATCATCCCTATTATTAAGGAAAAACATTGTATTTTTGGAAAGAAAATACATTTCTAGGATGTTGTTTCCTTCCATTTAGATAATATTCTATTCTTGATAAATTTAGAAATATTCTATAAAATAAAGAAAAAAATTTTAAGAAACAAGAACCTTACTAATATCTTTCTGAATTCAATTTAAATGATTAAGATTTAGAATTTTATAAAAAATATACTGATATGATGTTATAAATACCAGCAGAAACTTTAAAAATAAAAAATTAATTTGGATAATTATCTACTCAAGCTTTCAATAGTATTAGGGATGACTTAGATTATATATCAAAAAAAGAAGATAAATTATTACCTCTGTCATAGTGTATCTAATAAATAATAATTGTTGTTATTCCAATAGGAATTTCAGGTATGGGATATGAAAAGTTGTGTTCTTTAATTTAAAAAACAGGATAAAGAGTATAAATAATTAGGATAGTAGATTAAATTAATGAAAAAAATTAGCTATATTTTTATGAGAAAGTATGTAATCTAAAAGAATTAGAATAAATAAATAAATAATTTAAATCATTAGAATTGAACATAAAAACAATTGCTCTTATACCAGAATGTAATCTTGTATATAATCCAAAACATAAACAATGTAGTTTTCCATTTTCTTTTAATTTTATTATGTTTTGTTTAATGTCTGTTTTGGATGATAAATAGAAGGTGATAGAAGTTATTAATCAGTTGAAAGAATTTAATAATCAAAAATTAAATAATTTTCCAACAGATTATAAAATCTATTGCCGTTTTATGCCAGAATCTAAAGAATAAAATGATCTATATAGTGAATTAGTAGAATAAGATTTTATGGCTGCTCTAAAATCATAAAATGATTAATTAATTGAAAGTTTATCATAATATAAATAAAGTCAAAAAAACTTCGAAGAAAACAATTTAAAAAAGGAATCTAAGAGAGTGATAGCTGATATTGAGGAAAAGTCATAAATAGTATTAAGAAAAAGTGTTAAATTTCAAATAGAGAAAGATTAACATCTAAAGTTTGGTTTATTTATTGAAAAACCTGATTGGGACACGATTAATAATTTTGTTAAATCTTGTTTAGAGATTATTGTTTAAGAATATCCTGATGATAGAGGAATAAATAGAATGTATCATGAGTATGAAAAATAATTTAGAAATTAAAATGCTGTATTTATGAAAATAGATCAGCCATATATGTAGACTCGATAATTATATGATAAGGTTATGGATGCTTAAGTTTAAATAGGTGTTATAATTGTAGATGGAATAGTTATGTTGCAACCATAAAAATAAGGTTTAGATTTATTATAAGATATTCCTATATATACTCATAATATTGATAGTCTAAAAAGTAATAAGGTATTTGAGTAAGTCAAAATAGAAATTAGAAAAATGTAGAAATAAAATGTTGAGGAGAAAACCATAAAAAAGAAATAAATAAATTTTAATAGTAAAAGTTGGGATGCTTATATTGTCAAATTTAGACCATTTAATATAAAATTAGTAGAGAAGCAAATAAATTGATTATCTTAATGTTCAAATTAATTAATTAATTTTTATAGATTTGGTTAGAAAAACTATTTTGTGTAGCAATATTTATATAAAAAAGTATGTCTAAACAACAAATATATTATATATCTAATTTAGTAATATTCAAATTTTTAAAAAAGGCCTAAGTACTCTAATGCACTTATAATTTTAGTTGAATTAGTATTTGAGTAATTAAAAAAGGCGATAATCTTCTAAAATATTAAAATATTTCAACTTATATAAGTTACAATAGATAAAGATAGTAATAATTACATTGAAAATATTTGAGAATAGTAATTAAAATTTGAAAAAAAAAAATGAGAATTTTCAGGAAATATTTAATAAAGTAATATTTGTATATAATTTAGAGATAAAAAAATGGAATGAATATTTATATAATTAAATTATGATATTCAAAAAAGAAAAAATGAATTCATAAGAATAGGTAAGGATTTAAATATATAAAAATTAGTATTCTTTTGAGTTATTATATTTATGTCAATATCATCAAAATATACTACAAGCTACATAATTTCTTTTTTCAACTACTTTTCTCAAATCATTTTCTACAAATTGATAATTTAAAGAGATATGTCGGCTATGTTATCCAAACTGTGCACTATTTCTATCTTCGATTATTTGATCCATAGCTGTTACTATAGGTTCTTGAGTGATTCCTTTTGATGATGCAAATGGAGTTTATGATGAAAATATATTTGAATACATTCTATCATTTATCAAATAATTACGTCATTACAGGAGTTTAGACAGACTGATATACAGGGTTAGTACTAAATCAATAGTTAAATATTTACAACTATGTTTGATTATTCATTTAATTTTATATTATATTCAATTTATATTAAAATTACGTATATATCTATACAAAATGAATACACAATTATTTTTCATTCACTAACAACTTTTTTACTTGTTTTTCCTTCTCTGCTTTCTCTCTTTTCTATTATTTTTTGTTTTTCGAACTAGTTTTATAGTATTACTCCACCAAGAATAATTAAAGAGACTAATCCTATTAATACAGCCAATAATATTATGTGAACTAATTTAAATTCTTATTCATTTTACTAAATTATAATATATTATTTCTTACTTTGAATGGGAACAACCAACTTATATCTCCCACGTATTTCTAAATTAATGATTATCTATTTATTGACATTTGATAAATTATTTAAAGTCCTTTTGCCATTACACTTCCCAAAAATACATAAAGAGGTGTTATAAATACCAAAAGCCAAATAAACAGCACTTGTTGTGAAAAAAAAGAAAATACCTGCCCTAAAACCATTTTTAATTAACTCTTTATTTATTTATATAATACTAATTATATAACTCAATTATATTATTTTTTTCTTCATCATTTTATTGCATAAACTAAAAATAAAATTCTATTTCTTAAATTTTTCATTCTAATTCATTTTCCCCTTTCTATGAATAATCAATTTAACTAAAATAATTCTATTTTTTTTATTTAATAATAAAATAAATAATAAACGATTTACTTATATCTACTTATGTTTTTAAATTAAATATATAGAAAAAAATGCCAAAACTGACTCTGTAAAATAACACTTAAGAAACTATTGAGCTTTAAGGTATGATTCATTTTATAGATACATTATATCTTTTTTTTTAAATTTTTTAGTATATTTCGAAATTATAGATAAAATAGATTTAAATAATACTTATTTTTAAGTAAAAAAGAAATTTTTTTCTAATATATTTAGCTTTTTTTATTTATTGTTAATTTTATTATAAATTAATATCGAATTAATTGTTAATTAATTTATAAAATTTATGAATATGTAAAACCATAAACGTGAATTACATAAGAAGAAAGGCTTGCTAATAAATTTTAACAATAATTAAAAATAATTCAACTTTAAAATAAAACTATTACCTTATAGTAAAAAGTATAAAGAATGAATTCTTTAATAATGTTTGATTAGATGATGGATTTGAATTTAAAATCTTTTGATTAAATTTTCTTGTAAGTTCAATAAAATAATCGGTTTTATTCAATTGAAATGAATTGATTACATAAATTCCCTAGATAAAATTGATTAACTGAGAAATAGAAGAATTTAATTACTGATTAATTCTAATATTTTCGAATTAAATGTTTTTTTTAATGATATATGTGAACATTTATGAATAAATATTAATAATTAAATTATGGGAGTTTGCTCATCTACACAAAAAAGAACATAAAGATAAAATACAAAAGTTGATGTCTAATTTATCTTGGAGACTCTTACAGAAGAGTCTTAAATCAATGAGATATATAAAAGTTTAAATGGTCAGACTTAAACTGTGTTTGAAAACTTGTTAAATAACAAAAATATCAGTCGTAATATTACTTAAACAGAATATGATTTCTATTCAAAAAAAACAGAAGAGTTGAATCTCTTAAATTCTTATCTTTAAAACTATTATAATAACTATTACAGAATAGTAGTTTCTAACATTAAAAGTGAAAACTTATATTACTTTGAAAATTTAAATCTTAAATTCATTATCCAACTCTACTTGGCAATGAAAACTATTAAAAACAATGGAAATGAATGGTGGAATAAATAAAGTTTTCATACTCTAGAAAAACTCATAACAAATAGATTTAATATCTTTCCAAAGGTAGTTGAAGAGGGAAGAATAACACCATTTCTAAATTTTATCTAACTTTTAATAAAATTGAGCATAAAGCTAATGAATTTAGAGGGTATGACTCTTGATGAGAAGGAAATTGAATTGATATTTGATACAAAGGGATCAATACTCTACAATTAAATTAAAGTTGACTTATTAATCTGATTCTTAATCTATTTTGTACTCTATGTATATTAATTTATTTATTTATTAAATTCTACAAAAATGAAATCAATAATTTTAATAAAATAAAAATCTATATTAATTATAATTAATATAAATTTTTAACGAATCAAAATTATGGTTTAGATTAATTCACGAAATTTTGTAATAAGAATTCCCGAGTTGGCTGTTGTCTAAACATATTATGTTTACTTGAGATTATTTTTGAGACTCTTTAACAAGTGGCTGGACTTTAAGATCTAAATTAAACATCACTATTTGTAGTTTCTAGTTTTCTTCTCTAATAAATCAAAAAATTTAATACAGTAGATGATTAAGGAGATTAAACAGCCGTCGGACATTTTTCATTAATAGACACTCTGTAATTATAAAAAAATGGCATAGCTTTATATCCAGTCCTTACTCTTTCTTTTTAAATTTATTATGACATCTCAAACATCTAAATACAATCTTATTTTGGAGAAAGACTTCTTAATGCTTTTTTTTATCTTTTCAATAAACTATTATTTTATCTCCTATCTTTATTATTTTCAATCGATTTAGGTTGATAGTATATCATTTCATATCTTAAAACACTTTAACACAGCAAACGTTATTTTAAAATGGGATATTCTTTTAATAAAGTTAAAAACTCTTTATATTATATGATTATTTACTATTTCAGCTTTTATAGTTAAAAGAGATACAATAGAATTGCTCACTGCTTTTGTAAATCTAACTCTATTAAAAAAAACTTCATATTCCCCAAATATTTAATTTTCTACTAATAATTTTAACTATTTCTTATCTCTTTAAAGCTATTAAATTAATAGGATTAAATACTTATATTTCTCCTTCTCTAATTAAATATACAAATTTGCTTTCTTCATTTTCTCTATATATAACATGTTTAAAAGGAAGAGATGTCAAACAAAAATATTTTGAAATTCTTGCAACACTATTTCTAGGAAAATTTGGAAAGAGAGTTTTTCTTAAAAACTCAATTATTATATCAGTTCTCAATTCTTTTAGTTGACTCAGATATTAAGTAAAATTAGTTCTTATAGATAGAAGATGAATATCAGAAAGAGCAAAAAATATAGTTTTTTCATGTGGTGGAATTACTAAAAAGTTTGCCATTTTAATAAATCTTTTTGGTAATTAATATTATCCATCAACAATAAAGTAAATTCCTTCTTATAAAGTTATTTAATCATCTTAGTTGATTTTTTCATATTCACAATCTCTAGCTAATTAATCTACTAATTAATTTGTTTGATAATAGTTATAAATAAATTTTCTTATGAATGATTCTACTTCTATCAAATCTGTTGCAGATTTTACTTCTTTTTCTATGATTTAAATAAAGTCACTCATAAAACTTTAAATTTCAATAAATTAATAATAAAGCATTTTGTATCAATAACTAATTATTTATCCTAACTTACACTCTAAATTAAATAAATTAGAAATTAACGAAATGACATAAGATTACTTTTAAAAATAATTTAAGAAGATTAGATCGTTACTTTTTTATGATATTATTATTATATTCAAGAAAATATTAATACCAATCAATTTTTAACAATCCAATAACTTTGTTTAATAATTTATATGAAATGTTTCTAATATAGAATTTATTTATTAATCTCTATCTGTCAAGAAATTATTTATTTGAAAGTATTTTCTTATTTCATTCTAAACTTTTTATGAGGTAGTGCTATTTCCATTTTCTAAATCATTACTTTAAACTCCGTTATATGTAATAATTGAATTAGCTGATTTAGATTTAGTTCTTTTTTTTTATTCATCTATTAGCGATATTTTTTGATCAGAACAACAATTTAAAGAATTTATTTTTGATCTTCTCTATTTTCTAAAGCTACTTAATAGTCTGAATTAAATTGTATTAATTTAAATATTTTTGATTATTTTCATGAGTACATAAAATTTTACACTATATTAATGTATATAATAAAAAATGATTATTACAATATAATACAAATTCTTTCATAGTAATCGATGATTAATTTATATTGAATCAAAATTAGGTTTTTGATTTCACTATGAAAATATTTTATGAAAGTATTTATGATTTTCTGAATTGTGATTTTAAGTGTTAATCGACTAATGACTTTTAAAATTTCCTTTAATAATTTTATAGAAATTCATGTTAATAAGAAAATTTCCAAAACTTCTTTATATCATTTTAGAGAAGGTAGGTTTGATTTAATATTTATATTAATTTTATTAGTAAAATAAGAATGGAACCGTTTGCAATTCTGATAAATATTATTAAACCAGAATATCTGAATTACTACAAAGATTGGATATTTATGGCAAGTGAAAAAGAAGCTAGAGGTTTGTAATTAATTGGTGCAATTTATAAATATAAAGGAAGGAAATTATTTAGGTAACACTTAATATAATTAACATAGAGCAAAACCTCCTACAGTATAATTATAAGAGTTAACTGATTAATAAGAGTTAGAGTATATTTATTTGAGTTATTTTGATTAGTTTTAAAAAGGCTGAAGAAATGCATAGAAAAAATTAAACATCTACAACTTATGGGACTGAATTTGGATACTTATAAAAATTATTGAAACCTCAAAATAATGTGTTTAAATTTAAAAAATGTTCTGAATTAGAATTTGCATAACCTCTTAATGATTTAGCAAAATTATTTTTAGATAATTGGATTGAAATGAATGATGAATTAGAATTTCAAGAATTAGTTTTAAGTTGTTTAAGAGCATTATTTAGTCGATTTAAAGCATAATTAGTACCAAAGACAGAGATGAAGTAATCTAAAATTTAATTATTATTATAGAGTAAAATATGAATATAAGCCTGATTGGAAACTATCAAATCCAATAAGAGTTGATAAAGCAGGAACAGAAATTAAGTAATAAATTCTTATATAAAAGTGCATATAAAACCAATTATAATGCTATTTTTAAATAAAGACTAAAATAAGAGTAAATAAAATAAAAAATAGCAGAATTAGATGGAACAGATTTTGCAAAAGCATTAACAATCCATAAATCATTTAAGATTAAGTGAAATATACATTATAATAGATGATTTTAGTATATAGATTTAAATTAATTTCATATATATATTAGATATTTATAACATTATAAATTATTATATTTATCATATAAGTTAGCACTTACAAGAATCTCTACCTTAAAAGAGATTAAAACTGTCTTATAATTCGTTTACTAATTCTTTGATTATAAATCATACTTTCTTATTGAAAAAGATCCTTTTATGGTACTTATTACTTAAACTTATACCAATCATTAATTGTACATATGGAAATTTAAATAACTTCTAGGAATTTTTCAACTACTTATCTTTATTATTCGATTGAAAAATCTTTTTTTTGTTAGATGATTCCTTCATTCACTTCCATATATCCATCTATAAAACTTTTAAATTTTGTTGTAGTTTAATCTAATGATATTGCAAATACTTTTCTTATCCAATATTGTAAAATTTTACTTGCTTTAACAAATAACATCTGTAATATAATTTAGAGCTTGTGCAAATTGTAATTCTAGAAATAGTTGACTAATTTCTTTAATATTTTTTTAAAGCTCCATTATGAACTAATTACCTATACTATCAAAATCGTTTGGATCATTTTACTTTAATAATTCACAATTCCATGATGGCTACATTAAAAATAAAATTTGTTTAAATAATAATAAAATTTAATTGACTTGATTAAAATGGCTTTTGATTATTTTATAAACTCTTATTAAGTGAATATAAATAATAATGAGATTATCCCTAAATATATTTTGATTGAATTAAATAATCATAATATTCAAGATAATTAACTTTGCCTATAGACTTTAGAAAAAGTCTAGGTAGATTTGAATGAATTTAATTATCTAGTAAATTCATCAAGTGATCTTTTCTAATTTTTTCCTTTTGAATAGTTTTCTTATTTATAATTATCTTTTTCCGGTAATTATTTATGGGTTATTAATCTCATTTCATTATTAGATAATTAACTTTTTGAAGTAATAGTATTATTAATATTTCCTTCATCTTTAATGTATGATGGACTGACTGAATCTTTGCTTTTCCTTTAGCTTAAAATATCTCTTTTTGAAAATTGAGAAATAATTCTTTAGGAATGAATTGAATTATCTCTACCTCTTTAAAATAATTAGTATTATCGAAATAGTCCAAGAGGAGATGATTGATCTAACCAATCTATTTAAGAGACTTCCATTATATTGGAATTTTTACAATTCAATACATTACTTAAATTCAATTCTTTTCTTATTACTTCTTAATTTCTTGACTTTAGAGATATTATACAACCTTCTCCATGTTCTGGTTTGTTATTTTCTTTGTCTTCATTTCTTTTTCTTTTTTGTTCAATTATAATATTTGGCTCCAGTTACTGCTGAGATATTGAAAATAATTCTTCAAATTCTTATAGTTCCCGTTTTTACTCTATGTCCTATTCTTTAATTTAATATTCTAATATTTCTAATTAATCTTTTAATTCTCGATTTTCTTTCTCCAATTATTGTAGTATAACAGTATTCCTATTTTTTGATTCAATCAAGTCTTTAGAAAACTCTTCCAATGTTTATTGTAATTGCTTATGAATAATGCTCTAAATTTATATAAGATAAAACCTATACATTTTATCTCTGAACATCATTTTACATTGAATTGTATGCATTAAGTATGGATTCATTAAAAAACTTATATGAATCCTCTCTTTCTCTCAATTCTAATAACTACATTTCTAACAATTAGGTTTCCTGTTCTAAAAATGCTTTCTCACTCTTCCAATCCATTATATTATTTAAAAATTAACGACTAATTATATATTAAGTGATACAACACATTCCCAAAAGGCAGCATTAACTAAATCCATAACTAATATATAATTAGTCTTTTACTTATTTTTAAACTTTTGTTTAATTCAATATTGTTTATTTCATGCAAAGATTTTCATTCTTATTTTCAATAATTCTCATAATAGAATACATTTTTATTAAGCATATTATTTGAGCATTTTTTAATAAATATAAAAAATGGCTATTAAAACCAAGAAGTGCTTTAATAATATATTGTAGATATTAAAATAAAATTTATCAGTATAAATCTTTTACGTTAAGTTCTTTTCGGAATTTGATATGGAGATAATATAAAAAATTCTTTTTTGAAAACAGAAAAATAATTTAATATAAATATAAAATGAAAGGATTAGAGAAATGAAATAGTATGCTTAAGTTTTATTATAGGATTAGTTTAAAATTAATTAGATTAAAAATATGATGATGTCAAAATCTGATAGTAATGAAATTGTGTTTAAAAAATAATAAATAAAAATATAGAAATTAAATTTAAGATCTTTAAATATTAATTAATCATTGTTTGAATTTAAGTTTAAGCCATTAATGAAATACTTATTCATTAATATTTTTGGCCATTTACATAGGTTTACTTAGTAATAATTCTTTAACAGATGGTCTTTGTTTAGGATCTTTATGCAAACATTTGAAAATAATCTCTTTAGTTTCAGGAAGCCAATTATATTCTTAAAGATATTATTCGGCATCAAACTCCATAATGTGTTTCATTTATTGAATCTGCGAATAATCCTTTTTCCTGTGTAATTAATTAGCAATACTTAAAAGGATGTTGACCACTCAAACATTCTATTAACATGATGCCTAAACTCCAAATATCGGCATCCATTCCATAATTCATAGACTACAATCTCTCAGGTGACATGTATATGGCTGTGCCAATATAAGTATTTAGATATTGTCCAGTTGATACTGTTTAACAGATACCAAAATCAGCAATTTTAACATTTCCTTCTGAATTAATAAGAATATTATGTGGTTTGATATCTCTATGAATAATTTTATGTTTGTAATGTAAATAATCCAATCCTTATAATATTTTATAAGTGATCATCATCATCATGGGTTCTTTAATAAGTCCATCTTTTTAGAGTAGTTTATCTAAAGAACCTAGATCCATATATTCAAGCCAAATGCAAATGTAACCTTGTGAATAAAATGCACCATAACATTATACAATGAAATCAGATTCACATGATATTAAAGCATCTAATTCTCTTGTTAATAGTTTTTCTTGATTAGTATCTGAGAGAAATTTAATTTTCTAATAAAAATAAATAAATTACTTTCAATGCATATAATTCTTATGTACCTTTAAGTTATACTTTTTCAACACTACCAAAACCTCCTTGTCCCAATTTAGTAACAAGTTCAAAATCATTGAGAGTAATGTTTTTTTATTTTTAATCTTTCTTACATTGTTTATGATATTTAATTCCTTTTTCGTTTAATCTAAAACCTTGGAAGATAAGGGATCCATTTTCAGAGCTATTAATAGATATAAAATGAGAATATACAATTAATTCATAATATCATCGTCTTCACAACAATTAATATCTAATTTCATTTAAATTAATATAATAATAAATGTAATAATAAGGATAAGCTCCATTATAAATAGAACATTATATAATAGGTAAAACTTTGGGTGTAGGTGCATTTGGAAAAGTGAAATGTAACTATAATTAAATAGATTAGTGGCTAAGCATAATATAACAAATACTTAAGTGGCAATCAAAATAATAAACAAAAGAAAGATGAAGAATTCAAGAATGGGTGCTAAGATAAGACGTGAAATAAGATTACTTCGATATTTTAATCATCCTAATGTAATTAAATTATATGAGGTATTGGACACTCCAGGAGATATTTTTGTAGTAATGGAATATGCAGAAAGAGGAGAATTATTTGATTTAATAGCTTAAAGAGGTAAATTACCAGAAGGTGAGGCTCGTAATTTTTTTCTTTAAATATTGAGTGGAGTGGAATATTGTCACAATAATTTAGTAGCACATAGAGATCTAAAACCAGAAAATATTTTAATTACTCATAATTATGTAGTCAAAATAGCTGATTTTGGATTAAGTAATTTAATGAAAGATGGTAAATATTTAAAAACATCTTGTGGTTCACCAAATTATGCTGCACCTGAAGTTATTTCAGGTAAAACATATTGTGGTACTGATGCTGATGTTTGGAGTTGTGGAGTAATTTTGTATGCATTACTTGCAGGTTTCTTACCATTTGATGAAGAAACTACTTAAGCCCTCTTTAAAAAAATAAAAAGTGCTGATTATACTATACCAAGTAGTTTTAGTCCATAAGTGAGAGATTTAATTAATAGAATGCTTACTCCAGATCCATTGAAAAGAATCAAATTTCATGAGATTCATCTTCACCCATATATGAGAAGTACTTAAGTTCCCTTTTATTTATAAATACCATTCAAATTAGATGAAGGACGAAGATAAATTAATGAAGAAGTCTTTGAAAAGTTAATGCAATTATAAACAATTAATTTTAGAGGTATGACATAAACTCAAATTCAAAAAAGTATAAGAAAGAGAGAAGATAAATCATTTGTTGTAATTTATGATTTACTTCTTGGATAATTGGGAGTTGAATCATCAACTCCTATGACTCTTCATAATTTAACTATGCATGATCTAATATTTAATCCATAAATTCCTTAAATTGAAGGTTAATCATTTAATCGTTGTTTACTCAATGAAATTTAAAAACCATAACCTTATGATTATGGAAAGGAATTACCTAAAGATATTATGGCAATTGTTTATCCTTTTTAAGCTCGATAGATTGTAAATGCAATTTACACATGTTTAGAGAAATTTAATACTGTTATTAAAATAAAAAGTCCTGATTACAAATTGAAATGTTATCACAAGAATCTCATAAAGATGACAAAATATAATTCTAGTATGGAGTTGTTTAATGAATTCTAAAAGGAAGTTGAAGAAACAGGATCTAAAAATGATTTAGCTGCTCTGACTTTTAAGGATGATGGCAAAAAACCAAAAGTTAAAGAAAATAAATACTCTGCAAAAGAAATCATATTCAATATCTAGATTTACAAGGTACTAGATAATTAATAAATATAAAGATGCCGACAAATAATAATGATCATATGATTGACTTTTAATTATGTAGAGGACATCCTGTAGTATTTATGGATTTTTGCAATAAAGTTATAGCATTGCTAAATTAACACTTCAATTAAATTTGATAATTTATTTCCAAAAATATAATAAATAAAATAATGACATTTCATTTATTATTTGTTTTCTTAATCTTTTTACTAACACCTGGTATTTAAGATTCATCCTTCAATTTTTTTAGATAATCATCAATAGTTCTCTCAAGTTCATTAGCACATTTATAATAAATGGTATCAGGCTGATTATAACTTCTACAATTGGTAAACATCCTTTTCACATCTTTAATAAAGAGATCTTTAGAAGTATATTAATTATTTTGTAATTTCTTTTCAATAGTCTTAATATCAATAGGATCTGTAATGACATCATAATAATCAGGTACATCATCCTTATTGACAGGTTCAAGAAATGGCCAAGCTGATTTATGTTTTCTCATAGTATCAATAATCTATTAGCATGAGATCATAAAAGTCTTTTCCTTTTACTTTTTTAATTCAATATAATCTTCAATTGTCCAACCACTCTCAAGAACTCCAAATACACTTTCTGGTTTCACTGCTGGTTTATCTCCATTTGAAGTCTCCATTTTATAGTTCTATTTCTCTATAGCAGGATAAACTCGATCATTCAATGTTAACTTTTTTATTAAATCTATCATAAGCTTAATAATATTGAATATGATACCTATTTCTGTTCTCTAATTAAATCACTTATATTTCCATAATCTATATTAGAATGTACATAACATTCCATCAATGTACCTCCATCATAATCTTTTATAAATCCTTTCCATCTATCTGGATGCATCTTTATTTCTTAATAAAATCCTTATTTTCTAAAATATCCTATTGCATAATTATCTGCATAAGTAAGTAAATATTCCACATCTTATTTTTAAATATGCTCCTTAAATTTATTCATCAACCTTGTGCCATATCCTTTCACTTATAGATTTGCTGTTATTGCTAAAAATGCTATTTCAGCAAATCTCTATGTTGGATATTTCCTATAACAAATTCCTCCTATTACTTTCGTATTATCCTTATTTTAATTATATATTCATATACTTTTATTATACACATCGATTCATGATTCCTATCAAATACCAATCTAACTATATATTCTTTAGGCATCTTTGGAAGTTAACGTGCAAATATGTTTTTTAAGTCAATTAACATCTTCATACTATCATGATAACCATTATTTGTGATTATTTTGAAGTCAATCAAACCTTAATCTTCTTCCACTTTTGCTCCTTAATCTCTATTCGTAAATCCTAGGCCTGTCTATTCACCATTTATTCCCACAAATTATTGAGACATTTAATAATTATTATCATACAAATTAAATCATTCTGTTATCCAATTCCCGCATTTCACATTAATCCAAAAAATTTATACCAACTTTATTCAATATCTCTCTTTCTCTCTTTACTCTTGCCTTACAAATTAATCTCTCTCCCTCTTCACTATTAAATTAAGTATATGAAAATTTAAATTATGGTAATCCAACTACTTGAAGAATCTTATCATAAACTTCAAAGAAATTGAAAATTGATGCCATTATCAATAATATCGGTAATGAATGAGAAAATGACATTCCTAATACACTACTTGTATCCATATTTCCTACAACATCTTCAAAAGGTGTTCCCTAAATATGAATCATTTGTAGAAAATTAAATGTTAATGGAAAAGATACTCTTGAAAAATTACTAATTTTATTTATTATTATTATACTTACATTGAACCAAACATTAAACTAGGTGCATCAGTTTATTAATGATTATAAAATCCATACATTCCAGCAAAATTTATGTGAAATAATCCATAATAAGCACAAAAAGATACATACATCAAAGGTATTAAAATTGATATTTAAGTTTGAATGAACCCATTCACTTTTATTATTCTACTTAGAATATTAAAATCAAATTCAGTAAAACATGATATTTCTGACAATATTACTATACTAGATAATATTGAGAAAATAACACACAAAGATAATAAATAAGCCTTTTTTATTTTAGTATACCACAACCATTATAAGATATCTATATAATGGCCTAATTGTCCAGTTTTTGGATAACGAAGAGTAGATCGAATTTTGTAATGTACACTGAATTCATTATCAATCATATCTTCTAAAAGAAAACATTCTGTGCAAATATGATCCCATTTAGTTTTGGCTCTTTTGTATTCTGCAGCTTTCTTTTTAGCTCTTTTATTGATTTCGCAAAAAGTTGATAATTATCTAACATCGCTGATATCTAAATTCTTATGTGAAGCATCTTCAATAATTTCATAAGGTATCTTAATAAAATAAAGGCTTACTTCATTCAATATAGAGTCTATGCATGGTAAATTTGGATTAGTATTTTTATTTTATATTAATTCAATAGTAATATTGAATAATTAGATATAGAGCTCTTAAATAGTATGATTAATTTAAGCAGCCTCTAAATAAAGTGACTTTAAACATTTTTAATATTATGCTTTTCTCCAATATTCTCTAGGAATTGCTACTAAACCATGACCCAACAAAATAACAACTAACAATATACCACTTTGAATATAATAAATATTTACAAAGCATAAGCTAGAGCAACGAGAACTTTTAAAATAGAGTCATAATCAAGTTTGTTGAATATTGCCAAGTAAGCAATAAATATCAAACCAAAGATAAAAAAATATGCATAGATAATTAGATTATTCTTAAAAGAACGTATTAATTTATCTTTAAAAGTGAATTCACCTGCATCTTCATATTCTTAGCAAATTGGTAAAATAAGCCTAAAACGAATAAATGAATGAATCTCACCAACATAAAATGAAATTGCCCCAATAAATCCATTTCCATAATACTACAGTGTATTCATAGCCATCTCCATAATCATTGAGTGTGTAATAGATATCATGTGGTATGATAAAAACAATCCCAAAAGAAAGGATCCATGAAATGTATGTTAATAACTTCACATAGAAAGGTACTTGTTATTAAGAGTACTCTCTAACCAAAAATCCAACATAAAATAGTAAGGCTATTCCTTCTAGGACAGTCAATATGAACATATGTTATAAATATTAAAAGTAATATTGATTTTTACTTATTATAAATCATTCTGGAACGTCTTCTAATGCTCTATCTCTTTCATCTACTGTCTTAGCTCTAAATGCTTTTATAATATGATGCAATGCATATATTCCAGGGAGCAAACATATGCCACCTAATACAAACATTGCAATAACTCCTTATACTCCTTCTCCATATAAAAAACCTCTAATTATAAATTATTTCATTGCTATACCCAACTATTAATAACACTATACCCACTATATTTAAAAATAATATCAAACAAAGAACATTTTTATTTAATCGTTACCACTATTCTTTATATCAATCTTTACTGTTGTTCGAGGGTGTTAAATATCATCTATTTGAGAATTCTTTCTTTACCCTGCTATAGTTTATTGTAATTCACTATCTTCCATTAATTAAAATATATGAATAAGTTTTCAACTGTCAGATAATAACTCTAACCTCTTTTTCCTATAGATTAAAACACAACCCTTAAATTCAAACCAAGATCATCATCTTATTGTGAAAGAATCAAATAACTCTAACTCAAAACTACATAATACATGCCCAAATAAAGAAAAAGCATCATCTATTGTATGGGGGAAACCAGCAGATTAAATTCATTTTAAATTAAGCCTAAACCTAAATATGTTAGTAAAACCAACACTCGTCATCAAACATTACAAAATGAAAATTCCATTAATTATGATATATCACCATGGGATAATTATTCACCAACTTGAAAAAATTACTTTATATACTTTAACAAACAATAAATCAAAGTGTTAATTCTCCATTATAATCATTATTCTTTTTTCCAAAAAATTATAAGTAATCCTTGTACTTTCTAAATATTTACTTAATTAAATTTAACTTCTTGCACTAATATAATTTTATACGCTAAATTTAATATATATATAAATTATGGTATTTTTTCTCTATTACTAATAATTTCTATAAATATTAGTCAATGACTTAATAACAAATGTTAAAAAATATTTTAATAAAAATTCTAACTATTATAATTTATCATTAAACCCCATAGCATAAAATAAACCTTGAATAAGAATTTTCATTAATCTTGAATGAGATAGCTCAATTTATAATTATTATTATCTTTAACTGATAATGAGAACTAGAATAGCAAATTTTAGCAGAAAAATTATTTTATACAATATTTTCATATGTAATAATTCATATTGGATTAATAACTTCATGCATTCAACTTCAAATTATAATATCAATTAAATATGACAAGATATTTTTCCAAAAAGAGACATATTTTGATTTTCAAAAAAATTAAATTAAAAAAAACAAAAGAAAATACATGATTTTGCACACAATTAGTAAAGATCTTTGATAAATTAAATAAAACCCTATTAATTTAAATTAACTCAATTTAAAAAGTAAAAAATATTTATTCAAAAATATATTACTATTGGAAAGTATAAGTTAAAGTCTAAAATTTTATCGAACCCTAAAAACTAAGTTTTTTTACCAAATAAGACCAACATACGATCATTAGAGATGGATTTGAAATAAGTATTCTTGATCTAAAATTAAGTGAAAAAATGATTCATGATCGTCAAAAGAAATTGCATTTAAATAAAACCCTACTGAGACAAATTTAACATGCTAAATATGATAATTTTAAGAAATTTAATATTTGAAAATCCTAAATAATTCATGATATGTTGAATGTTGAATTTTTCTTAAAACAAAATTCAAATAAATCTCTATAAACAATATGAAATGCTTTTTTGATTTTTGAAATGTATAAAACAGGCTCAATCAGGGATAAAGTAGAAATCAACTCTTGAATGTAGAAAGAGGTTTAGTGAGAAGTAATAATGAATGGACGAGTACAATAAACAATAGTTTGAATAAATTAAAATTAGGATAAGAGAACTTAAATAACATCAAAATTTCATCTTTATCTTCTATATTTATAAAAAAATATTGAAATATTTGAAAAAAAATAATTATTAAATAATGCAATAATTTTAATAATGTATTTCAATAATGAAATTTAATAAGAAAGAAATAAATACATTTTCCTAATGAATGTTGTGTCAGCCTTGCTGGATTTAAACATTTCAACAAATTGTAGATTAACAAGTCTTGTTTTCACTAGATTGGCATATAATTATAGTAAAGTATTGCCGAGCGAATAAGAAAAAATTAAAAAAATTTATTATGGTTAAGCATTAGAGTTAGGTAGTTAGTTTAATCAAAGCCTAATAGAAGGTTAAGTTAAATTATAGTTATTTGAATAAAATACTGTAATAAATTACATAGATGAATTGAGGCAATATATAGAATAAGAAGTTCAAGATTAACAATTAAAATTTATATTAGCTTGTCATCTAAACAATGTTACTGATGCATTAAAAATTGAGGATTTTTTTAGAAAGTATATCATATAAGAAGAGGCAAGATTTTAAAAGTAACCCTACTTTGAAGTTATTCACAGTTTATCATTAAATTAATTGCTTATTTATATAGATGCTAAGATTCGTACCATCTTGAATAATCAATAATGAACTTCATATTTTATTCTTTAACAATTATGATAATATACTAATCATCTTAGATTCTAAGTTAAATTATAATAATTTATTTCATTCAAATAAAGCTTTTTCTCGAACTTTATAATAAGATGGTTCTAATTAAGATTAATCAGAGTATATTAAAAATTTGATGGTATTCTAAATTAAATTTATTTGAGGGTTCTAAAATTAATTAATCTAAATGTTGTTATTTGGACCTATATTTTCTAAAAGGAAACAAGTTATTTCTGAAATAATTGAACCCTCTTCGAAATTATTAAATTATTAATCATTGTTATTAAGTCTTTAAATAAACGCAAGATTCTTTAAATTAAGGTACTCATTACTTGTAAAAACGAATTTAAATTGAATCAATTTTAATTATCCTGCAGTGTTGTTATTTTATTCTATCCCCTGTTTCATGTATTTTTTTGTTGAACGATCTTATTAGAATTCCTCTATTATTCTAAGATTGATCAAATTATCTCTAATTGTTATCTTTATTACTTCATCAAATATATTGATTAAGATTTAAGTAAGGTAGTTAATGTTTATTTTAAAAGAACAATTTTGATCTATGAAATTTTAAAGAGTAAATTTGATAGAATGATAAGCAGATAATGTTTAAAAGTACTAATTTATAATTGCTATATAATTATGAAACTTGCAATTTTAAAGATTAAATTTCATCTCAGCAATTTTATTTTTTTAAAATAATAAAATATAGTTTCTAATGTAATTAATTATGGACAAGTTGAGACATTACAATGAAATTAACTATTATTATTCAATTAAGTTTTAAAATTTAATTTTTTTCATCTCCTCATAAAGCATTGATTATTATTTAACTATCTTATTAGACATATTTATTATAATTTTTTGATATTCCTTGATTTAACTTTCATATTTATGGATCAAATTAGGAACTTGTTCTGATTTAATAATGGCTATAATTATTGGTTTTCCAAAGTTTAGAAATCTTATTTATAAACGCATTTTTTTAGTTTGATCACTAAGTGAATCATGTTAATAAATTTCAAAAATGTCTTCTTATTATTCTTTATAGTTTGTTGATTTTTCAAAACTTTTAATTTTTTAGAAAAAAACTTCCTCTAAATTTAATAATTTAGTTGAATTTTTATCTCTTAATTTATTCTAACTTTCGCTAGATTTAATCATAACAAAGGTAGATCTTAGAAAAGTTTTTATCTATTCTGTTTCTTTAATTTTCATCAATTCTACGAATTTGTTATTTTAAAATTCTAAAATAAACTATCGAGTTCTTTTATCTAGACCTAATGCAAAAAGAGCATCATTTACAAATTCATTAATCAAATCTCTAAATAACAGTGAATATATATACTTTTGTTTATTAGAAATAAGGTTAAGAGAGAAAGCAAGTCTAGATGTGTATTCATTCATGTAACCCCATATTCCAATAAAAGTAGTACATGAGATTGTTTAAAAAACAAAAGCTAAAGTATCAGCTTAATAGACATTAAATACTCCCATTAAAATAAATGGAGTTGTTATGGTAAATGCTACTTTAAGTTTATTATCACTATATTACATTGTACCAATTGCTAGACTACATGTGTTGAAGCCAAATATGAAATTAGGTCTAATTTATCAAATGAATTACATTTCAAAGCCTGCATAAGCTATAAACATATTAGTTGTCAGTGCCCAAACATAATAAAATGAGAATATAGATTTTAAATATGGCAAGATTTTTCTGCTAATTATCAATAAAAAGACACATCCAAATAGTGTTAAAGTCATCAAAATTATTAATAATAGAGATTGTTATTGAATAACAAAAGTCAATAAACAAATGAATGCAGCAATACTAATAGTAAGGTTTAAAACTTTAAATGATATCAATCTAATTTTATTTAAGTGATCTTCGTATTAAGATTCGAATTCTGGATCGTAAAACTTTAAACTCCATTTATCAAAAGGTAAATTGAGCATTAAAACTGAGTTTAATTTTATTTATTTTTCATTAATATTCTGTAAATAGTTAAATTAGTCGGATTATAATATATTAATTAGAAGAAAAACATTTATCAAAAGAATTTAATTTATTTTGAAAATAAAATTACAAATATTATTATTTAAAAATAAAAGATGTTTGTAAATTCAATCCTATTGGTAATTTAGAATGAAAGATAATGTTTATGTTTGAGAATTTATATTTGACTATTATATTTTGAAAAATTAAATTGTAAATTAATTGATTTATTTAGTTAATTGAAATGATGGAATTTATATTATATATTTAATATATATATTATTTATAAATGGAAGGATATTTAATGAAATGGACAAACATTTTTTAAAGATGGTAACCACGTTACTTTATTCTTTACGATGATATTTTAACATATTGTGAATAGAAAGGAAGTTCTGTTGAAGGTAGAGTAAGTTTGAAAATATCTGGTATTTTCACAGTAGAAGATGATGCAACATAGATATTAATATAAACAGGAACTAATGAGTTAAAATTAAAAGCAAATAGTTAAACATAAATTGTAGATTGGTTTAATGCATTAAGAATAGCTTAAGAGAAATCATAGAAAAATAAGGTATAAAATTTTGAAAGTCATATAAATGATTTATTATCAACAATTTGGGTTACTTTTGCAGCATTTGATGAAACCTTGAATACTCTATAGATAAATTGTTCTAAATTTTAGTAAGAATTAATAACAAAATTACATACTCTTGGTTAGAATTTAAAGACATTTTTAACTTTGGGATTTACTTTAATAGAGTAAGAGAAGGAGAGATTTGAGAATAATGAAAATAGTGTTTATGAAAGTTTTAATGAAATGTAGAGTGTAATTCCAAATAATGGAATTCCTAAATAAATATAAATAAAAGTATAAGAGTTTGATACACCTTAAAGGGGAAACAACTTTAAAAGTATAGTAGAATCAATAAAACATACTTAACCAATAAAATATGTATGAAATAAAATAATAGATTAGAGAAATTTAGTAAATAGCCCTGTGTTTACAAGAATGTGTATAACAGATGATCCAGAAAGAATGTGTTTACCATATAAATAGGATCCGAAAGAGAAATTTAATATATGGCCTTTTCTAAAATCATGTATTGGGAAAGATCTAACAAGAATTCCATTTCCTTGTAATATTTGATAATTAAATTAAAAAGTGATATTCCATTAGCCAATGTCAGTATTATAATTGATAGTACAACAATTTGCTTATTTTGATTAAATTAAGAAAGCAAGTTAATGCGAAGATTCATGTAAAAGAATGTGCCATATAATTGCATTCACATTATCTAGATGTTCATCAACATTAGATGGTTAAAAAAAACCATTTAATCCTCTTTTAGGAGAAACATTTGAATTTTTGACACCAGATTACAGTATTGTTTGTGAATAAGTATCTCATCATCCTCCAATATCAGCAATGCATTGTGAAGGAAAAGACTTTAAGTTTTGGTCATAAAATGATGCATCAATAGGTTTTGGAGGAACACATATCAAAATATAAATAGTTGGCAAATCTCACATTTATTTAAAAAGATTTAATGAACATTATAGTTTTGATATGCCAAATATGCATATTAAAAATTTGATATTTGGAGAAAAATATTTTGAACATGTAGGAAAGATTAAATATATAAATCATTAGACTGGAGATATTGGAATAGTTGATTTAGTTGAGTATGGAGAAGGAAAAGTAATTAATATTAATAAATTTAATAGAATTTTACTTAAATTGATGCTGAAGTTAGAGATAAATATCAAAATTTGAGATATAAAATAACTGGATTTTATAATTCAGCTTTATATATTGGAAATGAATTACTTTGGTAGAGAATAATACCAAGTAAAGAAGCTTATTATTATTACAATTATATTCCTTTATAAATGTAAGCTAATTATCTCAATACTGAAATTTTACTTGTAATTTTTATTTCATTATTAAATTAGTAAATACCATGTACTGATTCTAGATTAAGACCAGATATAGCAGCTTTAGAACATGGGTGGAAAGAGATTGGATAAGATGAAAAAATAAGAATGGAAGAAAAACAAAGAGAAAAAAGAAAAATTATGGAATCAAGGAATGAAACTCATATTCCTAAATTCTTTGAAATTAAAGAAGATATTGACACTAAATCTAAAGGATATGTATTTAAAGGAAATTATTGGACAGAAAAACACGAAGTTATAGATATATTTTGATATGTATTCTATTTATTTGTATTTTGATATATATTTAATCAATCCTACCATATTGGATAACCATTCTAACCTATCTCATCATTTTATTCAAATTAGAAATTATTTGGAGGACTATGCTTTTACTTTTATTTATGATTTTAATTATTCATTTATTTATTTTGTCTTTGTTTCTACTTTTTCTCTAATTTCATCTATTATTATTATTATATTAGTTATTGATGTTATAATTCCAATTCTTCAATACTAGGTTACTGAATTATTGGTTCTTATCTTCTCATAAATATTTATTTCTGAGGTACTGTTTTTGTAATCACTTGAGTTTAAACTAATTAAACATTTTGTTAATTTTAGGTTGTACAATTTAATGTTGATAATTTTTCATCTTTCTCTAATTTTCTTGGTTAATCATTGACTTTGGCTTCTTTCATTTATTTGATAAAGTCTAGAAAATATATTAATTTTCATACCAACTCCTGTTGTTAAATTTATTTGTTTCGATTATTTTACTTCTTCTACTATATTTACTTAAATATTTAGATTACTATCATTAACCCATTTTATCTCATGAAGTTCTTCAAATTTCTATTTGTGTAGAAATTCTCCAAATTTTGAACATATTAAAAATTGATTATCAACTCTTAATCTTGGAAAGGTTGTTGCTAATAAAAAATATTATCCATTCGGACTCCATTCAAATTATACTACTTTATCTTATTTAGTTTAACCAACTTTTTTTATATTATTTAAGTCATATATGTATATATCTCCAGTCAGATTTCCAAAACCACAAAGAGCTACTAAATTATTTTTAGGATAAATTGAGTTTATATGAGCTTATAGTATTAAATATTCTTTTTGTCCTTATTTATTAAATAATATTGCACCTGCTGGCATATATCCACTTATAACTATAAATCCATTTTAAACCCATTAAACATCATGTATTGGCCCTTCAAATAATTCTATATTTAATAATTAATCTTCAATCCAAAGATTTAAATGATGAGTACCAAAATAACTTTAATTAGTATGATCATCTAATGTTTATGACCAAATTAATAATATTTTTCCATCATCTGACCATAATTATTTAACTTCATTCGAAGGTGGAATTGAATGTTCGAAATGTTAATTAGTATCATAGTTATCAATTAGTAATCTACAATCTTTTAAATCTTCTAAATGCTTTATTAATGTAACTGATGATAAATATAATGAATCCCTTAAAATTGAAATTGTAAAGTCTCCATACTCTGGACATTTAAATTGTTTAATTTATTAGAAAGTTGCTGTTTCATAAACTATTCCTTTGCAAAAACATAGAGATCCTGTTGAATCAAATTTTACTTCATGAGGAAACATTTTAACAAAATTTTCTGTTTTTATAGAAAATAAATAAGTTGACTTTCCTGACAAAATTATATATTCATTATCTGGAGAGAATGAAATTGAATTCACTTTTAAATCAATATGATATGTTCTTTTCCCACTATGTATTACTCCAAAATCTCCTCCATACTACATTTTAATAACTTATATACCACAATACTATATTTTGAGACAGCCATACATTTTATTGTAGTATGATCAGAAATTTAATTTGAATTAGTGAATGTGTTATCCAATCCATCTAATCCACTTTAATGTCTATATACAACAGAATAAGTTAATTCAGGAAGAGATTCTTATTATGTAAGGAGGAGTTCATATAATTGCTGCATTATTTTAAGTATTATTTATTTAATTAATTATTAATAAAAATGTGTATTGTCTTGTAAACTTTTTACCATATTCTTTTTTTAATTAAGTTTTTAAATATCTTTATGTAAAAATTAACTCTTATTCTAAGTATTCTATAATCATAAATCTATTCTTGTTATTCTATTAATTGTTGATTAACTTTCTAATTATGAGCATTAATAATTTAAATGAATTAATTAATGATATTGAAAGATCAGCAAATTATAGAAACCATAGACCCTTTTGAATATATTAACTCTGCTGTTTATTAAACTGGTATAATTTTGATAATATAATGAAATGAACTCAACTGGGGAAAATGAATTTTCTAATTCCTCTCAAGTTCAATTCAAGGAAGAGCTCAAGCAACATATACTTCGACTTTATGTAAATATTTAATTATTGTAAGCCATTAATTAATCATTAACAACTTTATTGTTTGCTTAGCATTTATAAAAATAATTGCAATTGTATAATATTTTATGAATCTAGAAAATTAACAATAAAATAAAAAAAATATATTATTGAATGATAAATATACCTTTGGTTCAATGTAGAAACTAGAATTTTATGATCATGTAATATGCCCTAATGATTGCACTATTCCAGATTCAGATATAGACATTATTTAATGTTTTCTTACAAAATATGTAAAAAAATAATTTTAGGTTTAGACAAAAAAATTATCTTATTCCTTGATCATGTTCTTATTTATTTTAAAATAAATGGAGAAATTTATTCCAATTACAGCAATTAAATTGATAAAACAATTCATCACAGAAAAACCAAATTTTATTTAGGATATTGGTATTGAAAAGAGAGTTTGTGTAATTTGATTTATATTTCCTTATTAGATATCTTTATATAGTAATGATGAGAGAAACTTTCTATTTAAAAATGACGTAATTATTTTAGGGAAAGATTTGAAAATGATAGTTCATTCTCTAAAATGTGTAAAATGTGAATTAACTCATATGAAACTTGAAATTAATTTTTAAAATGTTTAAGATTTTCTTAAGAAATATATGAATAACGTTATTGGGATATCATTTACAACTTACAATATTTTATTGAGAATTCTAGATGCTTATGATTATTTTGAAATTTAACATTATTCAACGTTGGTATAAGACTATGATTATTATAATTTATTAGTATGAAACCTTAATAAGCAGTCCATTATTAATTTTAGAAATTGAGAATCTAAAAATGATCTCCATCTTTGGTCATGAAGGAGACTTTTATTAATTTGGGTATACATATAATTTACCAGCGTATCAGAGAATATAGAATGAATAAGTTGATAAGTAATTATAAACACTTATTTAAGTTATTAATTTTATATTAAATATTAACAAGGAAAGTGGAAATTATTTGATGGCAAATACAATTCATCTAACATTGATATACTATAAAGCAAATTTGGTAGATATAAATCTAAAATTATAGGAACATGGAAAGTAATTTAGGATAAAACATTTCAATTATAACCCTCTGATACTTTTAGGATTAATTCGTATTTTTATAGTGTTGAGGAAGTGAAAGAGGAAAATTAGAATAATACAAAAAAAGATTCATTTTTATGTTAGGTTATATGTTAAAATATATCTGACATTCCAGAAATCACAAATAAAAAAATAAAGAACAAAAGATCTCAAAAATTATATAATTAACAAAAATAGATTTAGCCTAAATCAATAGAACCTTTTTCAGATTATTAAAATATCTAAATAATTTAAGAATTTAATTGTGTTTCTTGATTAATAATATTTTAATGACCTTAAATGTTGATCTATTGATTTTAATTAAAAGGATATCAAATTATTGTTGTTCTTTAATTATGATTTATTAAAGCTTATCACGTTTAATAAAAAAAGAACCAGTTTTATAAAGTAAATATAAACTTAAGACTTAAAATAGCTTAATGCATATATTTTTTATTTTTAAATCATAAACAAGAATATGTTTGTTCTCAAGCACTAAAAAGTTTATATCTAAAATTTAGTAACCTATTATTATTATATTTTATAAAATTAATATTTAATTTGTATTCTAAATCAGGATGGAAAAATTATTAAAAAAAAGTAAATTTTAAATATAAATTTTTCAAAAATTTATTAAAAATTTGAGATTTTAAATGTTTTTAAAGGAGTTGCAGAAGAGATAATCTGATGCTTATCACCAAACTTCCGTTAATGATAACTAAAAGAATCAATTAATAAAAAAAAATAGTTATTAATGAATCAAATTTAACAAATTCTGTATGAATGTAAATATTGGATTTTCATTATTTGATGGTAATTAAGGTGACGTTTTTTCTTTTATTTTCTATTATTTAAATTATCAAAAAGTTAGGGTGGATTGTTATACTATTTAGCATATTCAGATGAATAAATTTACTATTTAGCATCTTCAGATGAATAAAATGAACTAATATTAAAATGAATGATTTTTTACTTATGATCAACTATAATTTTATCATATTAGCTTTGTATCTCTAAATTTTATTGTAGTTTTTCCATAAAAAAAATAAAATAAATAAGTATTAAAAAAACAAATTCTTTTTTAAAGAATTGAAAATATTCATAATTCTTTCTGACTAAATTATTGATTAAATCATGTTCTAGGTTTTATTTAGTTAAATTAAATAGAGAGAAACAAATTGGTCGAGTAAGAAATGATAAAAAATTTTAATAAAGATCATAATATATTTGAGTTGAAATGGTTAGAGATGAATATTATTTATTTTAATAATGTGTAATAGATGATAATGAATATTTAAAATTGAAATTTTCATTAGAGCAATAAAGAAAACAGGAACAGTTATATTGTTTATTGAATTGTAATAAAATATTTATATTAAAATTTTTAGGTCAGGGAGCAATAAGATTTAATAATTTTTATATAAAATAAATGATAAAATAAGGTAAGTCTAAGGATACTGCAGTTTTAAGGACTCTCATCAACACTTAAGCATAAAATTTTGCAACTAAAAGATTGTTAAAAGATCTCAATATAATTGAGAAAGAGTCGATTTCCACAATGGGAGTTTCTGCAAGACTTTTGGAACATGATCTCTTTATTTGGCATGCTAATATTAGAGGTCCAGTTGGAGATCCTTATGAAGGTGGAATATTTCATTTTGAATTATTAACACCAGAATCTTATCCACACTAACCACCAAAAATAAATCTATTCACAGAATTACTACATCAAAATGTTTTCGGTATTTAAATATGCCTAGATTTACTTTAACCAAGAAAACCTGAAGATAAAGATAAATAGTCAGGATGATCAAGTGCTTATACTATTTAATCAATATTATTATAATTATCAGCATTCTTATTTGAAGAATAGATTACTGAAAAAAAAGAAAAATAACATGCTTAAATAAAAAAAGCCGTTTAAGCTGCTAATAATTTTAAATGTACAACTAAAAATTGTAAACATGGTGGAAAACTTTCATTATGGCCATAATTCAATAATAAAGAAAGTGAAGAATAATAATTTATTAACAAATAAACAGAATAAGAATTGTTAGAATAATAATTTATTTGTTTCCATACTAAATTAAGTTATAGGAAACCATAATCTCCATAATTTGATGATGAAACTAAAATGAAATAAGAAAGTTGTTTAGGAATATTATTAGATGTATCTAAAGTTCCTAGAACTGGTTCTATTAAATAAGCAGTTCCATCTTTAGATTATGTTTCAATTTAAACATTTTTAAATGAGAGTTTAAAATGGGATTCTTTAAATTTGACATATACTCATTGGTTACCTCTTTATTTTGGTAAGACTGATAATAAAAAGAGAGTATTACATCTCTTATAAAGATCATTATCAATGATAATGACAAATAATACAAAGAGATTTAAACCTGAATTTGTATTAGAAGTATTTCCAAATATTACTTAAAGTATTGTTCATGCAATGATGGCTGAAAAGACTCATGCATCAATTAGATGTTTAAGAGTATTAGCTTAAGTACATGCATTATGGTTATTATGTATGGAAGAGTGGCCTTAACTTTATTAATAAGTTGATACAGTGATTAATAAATTTATTACTGATTAAAAGAAATTCCAGAATTAGCTGATGAAAAATTAGATGGAGCTATTAGTGCAACTAAAAGAGTTGAAATTACATTTAAATAATAATCAACTTCATTTTAAATGGGTTGTTTCTAATATATTTATTTAACTTATGTTGTTTAAACATTAAAAACTTAAAAAGAAATTTTAGAAAGATTTGATAAAAATTATTGTTTATTAACAACAGGTATTGAAAATGGAATATAAGAAAAAGTATTTGAAGCTTTTAAACGAGTTGTTAATTATGAAGCATTCTATGAATTTAATGGATAAGAAAAGAAATCTATTGAAGAATTAAATTAATTATTGAAATAAGCTGTTAAAAATTCAAAAGAAAAAAAATATCATGGTACTGTTAAAGAAATGAATTAATTACCATCTGCTATTGAATAAGTTAAATAATTTAAAAAAAAAAACTCTAACTTATAAGACTTTTATGTAATTACTAAAGAAGAATTAGATAAAAAGTAATTCAAATATAATATTGAGGCAAAACAAAATATTGATTGGAAACAAGAATTAATTAAAAGATGGGATTGGATTGAAGAATTATTAAAATTGAATCCTGAATTAAATGCAACTGAATTAGCTTAATAGGCTAATATGAGAACATTAAATGGTTTTGGTCTTAAACCTGATGATAGATTATATAATAAAATAGAAACTCTGAGAAATTAATATCATAAAGTTTAATATTAAACAGATTTTCCGTAACATAATTGGCAATAACTTTATATGAAATTGGATTTTGAATAATTCTTAATTCAATTTGATTAATGTCCTGATTTCTAAAGCTTTTATGAAAAAGTTACAATTGGAAAAGATAATTTACTAGATTCAATTCTTGTATTAATTAACATAAAGACTGTTTCATCAGGATATTATATATAACAGCTGCTTTAGAATAATTTACAAAATTAATTAGATTAACTTTAACTGGATTAGATTAATCAGGCAGCATCATTTTTCCAAAGAAAGCTGCTAAATCTTTTTGTAAAGGTTTGAATAATTTAAGTAAATAATAAAATAATTTATAATTTCTTGAGATAATTAAATTAGGATTCTCAGGAAATTAAATAGAAATAACAGAATCGATATTTGGAGTGTTAACTCTCTTTGCAAATTAACTTAGATCTCTCACAATTGAAAATACTGATTTATTAACATTAAGTAATGCTGCAAAGACAGTAGGTGCTATAATTACATCTTTTAGACACTTAGAATTTTTGAATTTAAAAGGATCAATAAGAAATGCTAATATAGCTAAAGAAATAACTGATGGTTTAATGAGAGCAAAATAATTAGTAACTGTAGATTTGTCTTAAATCATTTAGCAACAGAAAAGGGATTAGCATCAATAGTTTATAATTTGAGTTTCTCACCAAAATTAACATTTTTAGATATATCAGGATGTGGTGCAATAACATCTTTTGATTTAGTTGAAAGTTTATATAAATTATTAAGAATTACTGCTAGTTTGAACATTTAAATTTAGAGAGATTATCTTCTTTAAATTTAACAAAAGAATTCTTTATAGCATTAGGTGAAAGTAGAACTTTAAGAACATTTAATTTAAATGCTATAGGAGAATTCAATGATATAAAATTAGACTATTTAGGTCAATCAATAGCTTTTAATACATAAAAAGTAGGTTAATTAACTATTGTTAATTTAAATTATGATGGTATAAACCATTAAAGGTTAAAGATATTAGTTGAAAGCATGGTAATTTCAAATTATGATCATGAAGTTTGGTATGGTGTGATGCTAATAAAGTTAGTAAAATGACAGGTGATGATTACAAAAAAGTATTTAGATGTAATTTATAAACTCTTGATATTAAAATATCAACATTCGGTCCAATTTTGATATTAACCATTATAAGAGTTAATATAAAGCTAAAAATGAATTGTAAAATATTTTTGAGAAGAATCCAAATCTTATAGATGTAAATTTTGCTGAAAATAATTTAATAAAAAAGATATGGATTTATTATGTGAGATGGTATTATCTGTTTAATTAACATTTTTAGCTTTCTAGATTAATATTATTATTTAAAATCTTTAAGATAATTTATTTTAATTTAAATATTCTAATTTATTCTTTTACAAAATTAAATGTATTTAATAATGCTTAATCTTAAAATTATGCTTTAAATAAATTTATAATTTATATACATTGAAAAACAATTAAATTAAAAGTTTTGAATCTTAGTAAAAATAATTTAAGTATAGAAGGAGCTAAAGTGTTAAGTAAATTTTTAGAATCAAATACTACTTTAGAATTTTTAGATTTATCAGGT